AGCACTTTCACTAGAAATGGCAGAAATTAATTCTCGATCTTTCAATGATAACATACCGCTTAACGCAGTGGATTCTATATCTACCTTATCTAATTCACAAAATAAGCAAACCAGAACATTGTCTTCTTACGATAATGAAGCGTCTACATCCATATCAGGAGATAATATAGCAGAAACCGTTATAGCTGCCACAACAAATAAAAGAAGATGTTTCTTTTGTGGTAGTAATGTAATTCATCAGCGGATAAAATGTCCAGCTTTAAATAGCACTTGTCAAAATTGTTTCAAAAAGGGACATTTTGCTAATGTTTGTCGAAGCAAACAAACTCTGAATGCTGCCATAGTAAATGAGATTGATAATAGTAACCCTGCAGAGGTTGCAGCTATATCTGCAGCTTCTTTACCTAGTTTACATAAAGCAACTGTACCTATCACCATTAATAAGTATTATGCTGAAGCCCTTATCGATACTGGAAGCTCATTAAACTTTGTAAATGAAGAATTAGCGCACTTATTGAAACTTAAACAGAAACCTTGTCAACAAATTATAACTTTAGCTTCACTTAATCATACATCACCAGTCAACTGTTACTGCAATGCAACTTTACAATTGAATAATCACTCGTACGACAACGTCAAATTATTAGTTGTACGTAATTTATGCGCTGATATTATACTATGTATGAAAGTGGCACCGGTGTCAGAGAGAAGAGTAATCGTCTATCATGGTATGGACATGTAATGCGTAGGAACGAGGATAATATTTTAAGAAAGGTGTTACATATGAATGTGGATGGTTATAAGGGCAAAGGAAGGCCGAAAAAGAGATGGATGGACTGTGTGAAAGATGATATGGTAAGAAAGGAAGTAAATAACGCGATGACTGCGAACAGGGATGAATGGAAGCGAAAAACATATTAAGCCGACCCCAAATAAATGGGATAAGGAAGAAGCAGATGATGATTATACTAGGTCATGACTTACTTAAAGCTCATCACTCCTTAGAACTGAAGTTTGGTGGTCCCCGAGATCCTTTGAAGATATGTAATGTCATGGCTGCTAACTTACCTCACGCTACATTATTTTCAAATTTATCTCCTAATGTCAAACCCGTAGCAATAAAATCAAGACGTTACAGCGAGGGTGATTTATTAAAGAAGAAGTTGAAACTATTAAAAGATGGAATCATAGAGCCAAGTATATCTTATACGTAAATTAAGTATACCTTGGCGGGCACAATTTCTAGTAACTGGCGGTGGTACCCATCGTAAACGTCTCGTTATTGATTATTCTCAAACTATAAATAAATTTACAGAACTTGATGCATTTATCATATCTAACGGAAATCTTACTGACACTTATGCATATTTAGATGACGTTACTGTTTGTGGTAAGGATAAGCTTACTCATGATGCTAATCTAGCAAAATTTATGGCAACCGTAGCAAAGTATAAAATTACTCTGAACAAAGACAAATGTAATTTTGGTTCTGAGACTATTAATATATTAGGTTATACTATAGAGAATAATGTAAGACCTGATAAAGAGCGTCTTAAACCTTTACTCTCCATGCCTGCACCTACAGATATAAATTCTCTAAAGAGAGTATTAGGTATGTTTGCACATTATTCTAAATGGATAAATAACTATTCAGAGAAAATAAGTAATTTAGCGACTAATAATTCATTTTGCATTATCAGGTGATGCAGAAATATCCTTTGAGAGTATTAAGAAAGATATTGCAAACGCTGCTTTAATTGCTATTGACGACACACAAATGTTTACTGTAGAGACTGATGCTTCTGAACATGCCTTAGCAGCAACACTTTCACAAAATAGTTGCCCGGTAGCATTTTTCTCTCGCTCATTGACAGAGTCCGAAAGAAACCATTCTTCAATAGAGAAAGAAGCGTCGGCAATTGTTGAAAGCCTACGTAGATGGCGTCACTATTTAATTGGAAAACATTTTCTTTTGATAACGGATCAACAGTCGGTTTCCTTCATGTTCAATCAAAAACATTCAAGTAAAATTATGAACGAGAAAATAGAAAGATGGAGACTTGAATTATCTTGTTTCAAGTTTGATATTATATATCGACCGAGTAAACAAAATATTTTCACGCAAAATTTTATATAAGCTACTGTCATCAAAATTTATATAAGCTAATGTATTATCATTATGCCATCCAGGAATCACAAGAATGGCTCATTGGGTGCAGTCTAAAAATTTACCGTATTCGATTACTGAAATTAAGAATATGACTGCAAGTTATCCTATTTGTTCGGAGATAAAGCCAAGATTTGCAAACAGTAAAGGGCGACTTATTAAAGCGTCGTCCCCATTTGAAAGACTTAGTTAGACTTCTAGGGGCCGTTGCCTTGAGATGTATCATCCGCTACTATAATAGCAAGTTTAAAGCATCTTTTCTTTACTTTTGGAACTTCTCTCTATGTACATTCAGACCGTGGAACTGGATTTATGTCACAAGAATTTAAAGATTTCCTAATAAGGAATGATATTGCTTGCAGCAGGACTACGCCTTACAATCCAGAAGGAAATGACCAGGTCGAAAGACTGAATGGGACTCTGTGGAGAACTATACAATTATCCTTACGATCCAAAACCTAGATATTCGGTATTGGGAAGATGTCTTGCCTTTAGCGCTGCACTCAATTCGATCGTTATTATGCACATGTACTAATGCTACACCACATGAGAAGATGTTCTGTTTCCCGAGACGATCTGGTAATGGAGTTTCTTTACCTTCTTGGTTAATGATTCCGGGCCCAGTACTATTAAAAAAATGTAAGAAAAAGTAAATATGATCCTTTAGTGGAAGAAGTGGAACTGCTGGAATCAAACCCAAACTATTCTATAAATAACTATAAATACGCTTTGCTGATGGGAGAGAGGATACAGTATCAAACCGACATTTAGCGCCAATTAATAGGCAAATTGAAGAAGTAGTCACTGAAGATGAAACGGATAACTCCATTCATAACCTTTCTGATACAGATGCCGAGATCTACCAGACAGCATCTGACAATGAAAATTTAAATGCTGATAATTCCGGTTCAGAAGTAGTTCATTCGCCCCAACGGCCTGTCCGTGAAAGACAGCCCCCTGCTTACTTAAATGATTATGAATCATAAGGATGGGTGAATGTGGTAGTATAGAAACTCTTTATAATACTATGATTTGTTTTTTATTGTCTTGTCATATTGTAACATTTCAACATGTATATCTTACTGGCATTTTAGTTGAATTAAACCAATATTTCCTTATGATCCATATCGTTTTGTATCAGGCATGTACCTAAACCTACGTGTTTCACCATGCGTGAGCCAGGTCCATCGTGTGTCAGAGAGGGAAACTTCGAGCAGTTCCCGCGACTCGTGAATCGGGTGTAAGTTTAAAGGACTTCTTGCCAACGTACGTCAACACTCTCCTTTACCGCTCGTGTTTCTGTTCCTGCCCTTCGAAACCTCGTAGGAGACTACTACTCTCTACTACTACTACTACTACTGCTCTAAACAGTCCAATATCTTTTAGAAGATTGTAGAGATTTCGCTGGTATACCTCTCCCACTTCGACCTCATATAAATTAACAATAAAAAAATTAATGAATTAGGGTATGTAGTTTTCCAGTTATGGCGTGACCAATGGAAATAGTGATTCAGTTTTATATAGTTGTATTTATATATACTTATAGTTAATTGAGAAAGTGCTCAAGTAGCGAATTATTAGTACTTATCTACTACGCTACGTCAATCATGAAATAAAACTCATCATCTAAATAAATTATTGCCGATACCTATGTTTAATTTTAATGGAAAACAGTTTTCGAAACTTTAAAATAATAATAATAATAATCTCAAGACAATTCACACAGCGCCATCTAGACCCAAGTTAAGCTAGTTAAAGGTCTTATTATGCGTACTAGATGACTGATACATACACATAGATATTTTTTTTGTAAATACATACATATTATACATAGAAAACACCCAGACCTATACAAACAATCATACTCAGGAATACAAATTGTTTGTGCCGTGCGAGGAATCGAACCCGCGACCATCGGTCGTAAAGCGGTGTGCTAGACCGCTAGACCACCGTGGTCGTCGAGGTATAAGTATCTACCTACCTTATATTTTGCTTTTAAAGTTCCTAATATAGGTATAATAAGTATATTATTGTATCTAGGTAGATATAACTTAAAAAATAATATCAACTTTGTCCCTGGGAAATTCTAGTATGAGTAGAATTTTTTTATTAGATATCGTCGTTAATTACGTATAATAATAATAATCTCAGGACAATTCACACAGCGCCATCTAGACCCAAGTTAAGCTAGCTAAAGCTTGTGTTATGGGTACTAGATAACTGATACATATATTTTTTTGTAAATACATACATATTATACATAGAAAACACCCAGATCGATACAAACAATTATACTCATGAATACAAATGGTTGTGCACTGCGAAGAATCGAATCCGTGACCATCGGTCGTAAAGCGGTGTACTAGACCGCCAGACTGCCGAGGTCGTCAAAATACATTATAAATATTTGTATATATCAATGATGATAATTATTTACATAAAGTTATTTAGCTTTACAAATAAGGACTAAATAATAATACCTAAAAATGAATTATCTGTATTATTCTGTTGTAAAGTCGTACATATATGTACCTACATACTCTTAAGTATATATTATATTTAACTTTGGTATAGACTGTATAAAAAACGACAAAGAAATCACCTTGATTAAAAGGAAGTAACAAAAATTTTAAATGTACCTTTGTGCAAATATTTATAATTATTTTGATTTAAATTAATATTGCCATAACATATATCTACTTTGCTTATTTAAGTACCATATTTGGGGTCAACAAAAACAAATTAATGTCAGTACCTTTGTATAATACTCTATTATGTTACCACAGGTGTGACAACAATAAATTGTAGATACTCTCACAATGACCGTACATACCGTTATTATATTCCCGCATTTCCATTTTGTGTAATATTAACTATAAAACTTATTAGAATAAACACTATGATTAATTACACACACTTGATTGTCAACATTTGTGGTGACACAGCGTTCTACCGCGGACTGCAACGAGATACTGACGTGATGATTTCGCGACTTGATCAAATAAAATGCTGCGCCTGCGCCACTCTCTTTTCAACCGACTGCCAAAAAGTGGTGTTCTGCAATTCAAGAGACTTTTTATATAGGTAATTGAAAACTGAACTAAACAAAACTAAACGAATTTGAATTACCTACTGTTTGCGCAATCGATAGAGAGAACTCCCATGTTAATGTTATTCTAATTTTGTTAGGTCTCGTTGATATATTTTGTAGAACAAGATAAGTCTTTTAGAACAAATTGATCTTTTTCAATATCATATTTCATATAACTAAATATGAGATCTTGTTTTATCGAGTGATATGTCAATGTAAAGGCCGCGAGATAATGATAAAATCCTCTTATAAGAAGAGGCTCGGACGTCACTTTCTTAGGTCAAAGTAAGTACCATACGAATAACATATCTGCTGACTTTTACTGATATGATGATTATCTACTAGTAGTATTTTTTTAGTGGAGTGGAGAAGTGAACCTTCCTTCGCTAACAATACGTACAAGCAGACTGGATAATAGTGGAAAACGAAGAGATAAACATGACGGAAGTTAATTAGCGTGAACGTCTAAAATAATAAGGATTTAACCACGATGGTTTCCAAAGGAATTTTTTTTTACGTGTAGTTCCTTACCTTATGTGTTATTACTAACAAACTGCCGCCGATGTAGATACTTAAGTGTGTAATCCAACCCCTTTAGATAGTATTACATAATCTTCTGTAGATTTTAATACTTAACAATTAAGAAATGAAGAACAATGTTACTTATCTATGTAATTAGGTAATTTATTTGTCAGACAAATTTAAGACGGGCGCTAATCTAATTTATGACATAGCTACTTAAGGTATTTCTTTATTTGTATTTGCTATTCATATAAATTTCAGACACTGAGGAATTCAATAGGTATATGGAGGCAGACAGCGTAACATATTAAAAGTATATCTAGATAAACAATTTTTCTCTGCACAGCCTGTGGTAGACTGGTAGAAAATGCCGTAAAGCGTTAAGTCCGCCATATGTACTTTTACCTTGGTATTTTGTGCATTGAAGTTATATAAATAAATAAACACCTACTGCAAAGTAGTGTGGGTTAATACCACAGATAAGGAAATATTACAGTAATATCTATGCACAGTACACAATGTAACATCGGATTACAATAGAAATAGTTTATTCGTTGTTAAAAAATATTGCAAGATATACAAAGCCAGGTAGTTTGTATTGTTATATTCTTCTTTATTATACCATTAAGACCGTCAAGTATATCAGAAGAGATAGGGACTGGCATTATCATATTATGATAAAGGTCCCTAAATAAATGTAAGAATAAAAAAATATCAGAAGGGGTAAGGTAAGGGGGCTAAGCAATTTGTGTTGTTAACACAACTGTCAAAGTACTGTACACGATATACCCACATTTCGTTGTTTGAATACAATACATCCACATATTAGAATAAAACGTTTCAAAGGAGGAATACCATCTCAGATTCAATTCGAAATATAAACAAAAATTTTTGGTATCGTCCATTATCGAACTCTCACAGGCTTAGGCGTATATCGTATAGTAAACTACTGGACCACGGCGATTCAGTAATTATCTATGTACTAATATAGTATTCGCTCTTGTTGATACTACTATATATTACACAGGACAAAAAAAATTACCTTGTTTTTTGTTGTATGAGATTTTTCTACTGAAATTATTAATTTGGGTGTACTGAATTCGAATCTTCCTCAAACCCTCAGATTTTTTGTAGCAGCTGTGGTTAGTGCGATACAGGGCATCTGAATTAGCATGAGTAGTCGATAATTTCTATCAACAACGGTGTAAGCAAACTAGTTTCTGTATAAATTTCATTAGATCTTCCTCAGGAGATCGCGTTTAAAAAGTCCTGATAGTTTTTGTTTTATTTGTGGAAAATCTATGTTCAAAAAATTCCGTTTGAATGTGTGACTTTGTGAAAGATACATACTTGGACTATTTTGGGTCTCCATTGCTGAGGAATGCAATGGAGGAAATCCCTGGATACCTAGTTTGGTATGAAAAATTGTGTTCAGTCTTTGCGATGATAGACCTCTGTAAAATAAGATTATTGAAGACACCCTGTTCGTTGGATATTACAAAATGTAGATTTTATATTAAAAAACAGAATATGAATTTGCGTTTTATTTATTTTTATACATTTTTGTCAAATTAATTATTTATGAATCTGCCTATGTACATACAATAATTAAATTCTACAGTAATAAAATAATAGTTTTATATAGTGAAATCATGTTCTTTCACGCATTTCTATATCGTATATACAACTTATACACATTTTTGTGTAATTTCAAATTATTAGCGGATTCTTTGTAAATTATAAATAATATTTGTTTTGCCATAAGTATATTACAAACATGTATTTAAAATCTAAAACAGTATACAGTTTCAACTGTGATGAAATAAACCAATATGTTCCATTTCACAATCCAAACCCATACTGTCATTTATTTATTTACATAAACAAAATAAGCAATTCTTAACATCCGTACTTAATAACTACTCATGTCATGAAAAACTTAAGATATAAATCACTTTAATTAATCAACACATTTTAATATTATTACTATTAATATTATTTATCACGATAACAAATAACATCGACAATATCACATGATGAAATGTTAACATTATAAAATTTGACAATGGCAAATTAAAATTAAATATTTATAACATTAGACAGAATTACAAATAAAATACTTTTGTAGCTCACCTTTCATACAGACATCAAAAGGAACTTAGAGGATTAAAGATATTTGAATTTAAAACAATACATTTGGAATATTGGGTCAGTATAAAAATTACATAATCATCTGCTATATATGTAGTCTCATTAACAATAGAGATTATTATTCTCAGCATACACATAAAATCACAGCTACCTTTATTGGTGTCCTCGAGGGATTCTTTTCGATATATTTGGGACATTTTAAGTACACCTAATTATTGAAAGGCACTAGACCTAATCTACTATAGAATATCTGTACACTCTATTGATTTTGGAAGTTTGTATTATGTACTTATCGTTCAGGCATAACTTCGCGTACGACTAGCCAATAATAATATTAAATGTTAAATATATATACAATTACTTAATGACAAATCTAATACAGCCCGTAAGATCAACTAAATTTAATGACAACAAAATGAGCACTTTCTACATTAAATGCATTATAACTCATTTAATATGACTATGTTATTCATTAACACAAAGGAATTGAATTGCAAGTAAAAGTGTAGAACTGTACGGCTAATTTTGTGACATTCACTGAGTTTTCAGTTAAGCCTCTGTTTGTTATGGAAAATCGAACGTTTCATACTTTTATATTGTAGATAAAAAAAATAATATAGGAACGTTAACTGAAAGACGGCAGTACCCAGAACAGGTAACGTTATTATTATATTATATAAAATATCTATGTTCACGGAATGAAAGAATTCGTTTTAGTCGAATATCTTAATGACACTCGTAATATCGTTCCGTAGACGCATAAAAATGTTTAGAAAAAGTTCAACTTTAGTTTATAATACGGGGAAATCGTAAGAAAGAGATTCTCAAGTATATATCTATTAGTGTGCTTAATTTTGTTTCATTGCCTAATATTAAATTTAACTATAAAAATTATGTCAAGGACGTGATTGTGTAACAATTAATAATTCTAAAGTGAACCACATTTAAATTAATAGTTTTGGGATGACGACTTATTTTACAGTTAGACCTATTTTACCTACAGGAAAATGCAGAGTTCAAAAAACTATTAACAACTTCAATCTCTTTCCGACAAAAATTGTTACCAAATTCATTAAAAAATCAACCCCAGTGTTTGTTACTACCGTCGTTCGTAAGTTGAGGAACTTCTAATCAATTTTATTACAGACTCAAGTAGGCTTAGCCAAGGGCCACCAGAAACGCCAAGAAGCATCAATCATTGATAAAACCTTAAATTTACTGATATATTTCCACCCCTGAATAATAAGTTTTTTTTAATCAGCTATAACTTTTGAATAAGAAATACTGATAAAGCAAAATATTTTATAAATGAAACAAACTAGTTACTGTATGATATTCAATAAGAAAATACAGTAATAATAAATTAAAGATATATATAGAGGATATTGTTTGAGTTATTATGCAATAAACTTAAATTTCTTTGAGATTCTAGTAAAGAAACCTTTACAATCCGTGATACAGAAATGTAGCTTTATAAATTCAAATGCAATAAAATACTTAATACATACTATGAAAAAAAAGAAACTTATAGTTTCAGACTCTAAGAGCAAATTAACTTTAAATCTATAAACGCGTACCTAGGTACTATAATGTCGTCGATTTTTTATTTTCGAAACTAAATTACAAATTTTTAATGCAGGTCCTAATTTTAAACCCATATACTTCATCATCATATCAGAGTTCAGAAGTAGAAGTGCCTTGCCATCTATTTCCTGTAACAGAAAATTATAAAATATATCACTTTCATGAAATATATGCAGCAGGAACACTTGCCTAGCCCGAAAGTTTCTTTTGGTATTTATTAATTGGTTAAGTTATAGTAATTATTAATAGTAATCCAGTCCACAGTAACACTCATATTTTTATACTAGTAGCTTAAAAATTGGTAACTATTAACATTGTCCCAAATTGTAACTTCTTTTAAACAATAAATCAGGAACAAGGTTCCTGTAGGCGTTATCCTTTTGTTGAAATAACTCAAGCCATTTTTAACCCACAACATCCACATGAAAGTTACACGGGTAACTTCGTTGTGGATGAAGCAAAAGGCTTGATCCAATTTACTATTATTAATTAATGTACTAACTAGAACATAGCTATTGTTAATATTGCTACCATTTAGTACTTACATGTTTCCTAAACAAGTCCGCATGGGCTGCTAGTGCCTGGTCTGCGGCGGCTATGAATCCTATGACGTCCTCAACGGACCATTCGGCGGGCGGTGACGCTGGAGACGGCGGCGGCGGAGCGCCCGTAGTGGAGGAAGCCGGCTCGGGTCGCTCGGGCGACACTCTTGCCATTTTGCTACCCCCACCTCCGCCCCCAGGCCCATCGCCGGCTGATGACTCGCCTGTACCATTGAGATTACTGCTGTTTGTATCTTCCTGAAATCCATATATTTTTTGGATCTTTAATACAAACAAAACAAAGCATAACATATTTATTAACAAATGCTGAAAAATATAATATTAATATATGCTTTTATCTTTAATTTTCTTTTATCAAATATTTGCATAGTGCAGAAATTTAATCAAAACAAAATTGTTCAATAATTTCTAGTCTTTACATAGTATAAAACAAAGATGCCGGCGCTGCCTGTTCACTTATATCTTTTAAATTACACAACAGATTCTAATTAGTTATCAATAGATAGTGATTCAAAAGGATGTGTATGAAGATGAGAATGGATGAAAACTTTAGAGTTTAGAAAACTTTACTAAACATCCACCCGGAACTGGTCCCTAGTTATATTTATAAAAAAAAAAGTAAGTATTTGAATGTTTAGATATTACTCAGTTAGTTGAATAACATGTTTAATAGATTTGTATTTATTTTTACTTGGCTGATGGACATATTATATTCAGGGATAATACACAGCACGCTTTCATTCGTGTGAACAAGGATTGAAGACAGACATATTTAAAATTCATTACTTACAATTTTAGGCCTCTTAACACCAGATGACACAATATTTGAAGTGGATTCACCACATAAAGTACAAGGTCGACCTGCAACCTCTCCTGTGTCTATCTCTATCATTCCTGTACAGCATCCAACACTACTACATATGGCTTTAAGCCAACTCTTTAGTTCATCATTAGTTAGTTCATTTGGTACCTTTACAGAATAATTTTTAGAATCTGATGAAACCTGGAAAATATATGTTCATAGAATTTCTATTACCAATATATCAAATATAGCTAAACATACCTCAACATGGTCATATGTACTGAGTGGGACTGATGTCATTGTAGTACTAGTACAATTACAGTAACAGTTACAGTTAATTACAGCACACACATCATACAAAATTTATTACCATAAGCATATTATAATATGATAAATATGTAATTAAACAAGATGTTAATAATAATGTATTAGCAAAAATCATTCACAAATAAAAAATAATTATTGATTACAGTAACTAAAAAGCTTCTAGACTGTATGATTATGATTCCTAAATAGCTATTATCTTCAAATCTATAAATTAATAGTGCTTTAATTGATAATTTTAAAATTTACTTTATTACAAAAACAAAAAGTTATGAAATTCTTCACCTGTACATTAGTTATATTGGAATAACTACTAGATGCTGTAAGTATTGCCCTTGTTAACCTCTGTGGATCAGGATGTACACTGATCAACTCTTTTGCAAGGGATTCAGCAGCTCCAGAAGGACCTATACCAGTAATTGTACTGGGCAATGAACTGCTACCTCCAGAACAATTACTGCGTATTCGTAAACGGACAACTGTCAGTGGTGTTGATGTTGGTGAAGTAGAATTGCTATTGCCAGTTGATCCACCTTCAGGTAATGCTGGATTAGGAATCCCACTAGGCCGTAACTTAAATCTGAAATTAATCATTATCCTTCTAATAACTTTCTAGAGTAGATAACATAAATTTTGGAATGAATTCTAATTTTAATTATAACCAATTTAGCATGATAGCAATAAAGAAGCACACTCTGGTTCGGAAATGAAAAATTATTTAACCATTTGTAGATATATTATGTAACATAATAAAACAGAAAATAATACTAATTTATTGTTCTCCTTTTTGAAGATCAGTCCCTTCTTTCAAACAGATATGTCAAGATTTTTTACTATAATTACAACTTGAAAACGAAAAATGGAATTAATCTTTACATAGTATAAAACAAAGTTGCTGTCGCTATCTGTCCCTATGTATGTTTAAAACTTTAAAACTATGCAACAGTTTTTGAAGTGTTTTTTCTTAATAGATAGAGTGACTCAAGAGGAAGGTTTATATGTATATATATAAACCTGTGCAAAGCGGGGTGGGTAACTAGTTTTTTTATAAATTATAATAACTTATACCTTTTTAAGACTACATAAATCTCATTTTATTATATCTGCTATACATTTCTAGATTATATGCAATTAAACCATTAAAAGAAAACCCACCTAGAAGGTGCTGTAGCACTTTTTTGGCCTGGGGGTTGTAAAGGATGGCCTGCCCTAGCACACCATCCCACAGGAAATATATCTCTTGAATCATACTTGCACCAGTAGTCAAAAGCACCACGCCAACCATCAAAAGTCACATGAATCTGGTCATTTTTCACTGCTCCGACTGTAGCACAACAAATTAACTGTGGGTTTTTCTTGTCAACAGCCTCTAACTTCTGACCAACCATAAAGCAATTTGCTTTTGGAGTTAGTGGTTCCTCCTGGAATACTTGTGCAGGCGCCATTTCAGCACCATTCAGTGTTTTGAGCAAAAACATAGGCCAACTACTAGCATTCATACGAAATCCTAGTGGTGGTTGTAACATGCCATCATTCTTTTCACAGTGACCAATAGGATGAATGTCACCAGCATCAACAAGCCGCCAAAAGTCATTTTTATTATCACTACCGTCAAGTCTCAACCTGAGACGAGGGCCTAAAACACCAACTACTGTAGCTATGCAAGTTGAGGTCAAGTTTCGCGGATCAAGTGCCTCCAATTTCATATTCACTTTGAAATCATTCACTGGAGGTAACAGTGCCTGTTTGAAACAATCTTGTGGAGCCGGCACACTATTTGTTTCCTTCATATACTCATTCCAATCGAAAGCTTGATAAATATCATAATATGATCCAGCGGAATTATTATTGGAATGATTTTCTGAACCATTTGCTCCATTTCCAGATTGCGGCGAAGTAGTCCGTTTCTCGTTCTTCTTTTGATATTTATTCAAACAATAAGTTGAACAAAAATTCTTACTACTTGACGGAGCATTGCCTCTTATAACATTGTCACAATGCAAGCAGGCGCCTTTACTGTACGCCTGTCTAAACTCAGATAGACATGTTTCTGAACAGAACTCTTTTTTACCGTTTTCTGTAGGCAAAACATATTTTAGCGGAGTTTTACTCTCAGCACACCAGGTACACGTACGTTTCGGTGGTCTGCCAGGTCCACGTATTTTGCCGGGAGCAGGGCCCGATGAGCCGACTGTGTTTGACATCCTTTTTGGTAATAATTTCTAATACATTACTCCACTAGACCATTTACACAATGATTACTCCATTTACATGATAATCTCAACAGACGCAATACTGCAATTTGATAAATACACACTTGGTAATTGTGCAAAAATATAAACAACGTCAGAAACTATTTATGACGCCGTTCCAACGGCCATATTAATTTTTCTTTTTACCAGTGTTGCCTGAAATGAATTATGACTACAGATCTGTGAGCATAGAATAAACAAATATTTTTATCTTTAATAAATAAGATCTGTGGTCATAGTCCAGTTGTCAATATTGTTTTTTCTTTATATTACTTTATAACTTTGAGGTTATCGTTTATCGAAGAAACTATTTCTTATTATAATATATACAATAGTTCCTAAAGTTTTCTATTTCTATGATTACACATATTTTGTATAGAAATATGTCTCAAAGAGTTGTTTTCAAATTAATTAACAATGCCGAAGTAGCTGACAAAAAAATTATTGACTTGCGACAGAAAGTACGATTTTATAATAAGTATATATTTTTAAATTCTACCGTTTAAATGTCTAATTTTTAAATTGTATTTCAGTTAGAAGAGGTGAAGAAAATCAAAGTGCAGGAGAAAATTAAACATCTTACTTTTGAAAATGAAACTTTGTCAGTTAAAGTACAACAAGCAAGGAATGAATTAATCCGACTTGAAATTATGAATGGTAAGAATCAGTATCCAATTCCTGGAAAAATTATTACAAAAGCATTAGATGCACCACCACTGAAAACTGATGTTCAAAAAGAACAAATCCAGAAGGAGAATAAAAAGAAAGAAAAGGAGCCTGCTAAAAAGTTAAAAGAAAATTCAAATGAGATCAATAGTACTGTAGTAGATGTACGAAAATTAGATTTTAGAATTGGAAAAATCATAGATATAAATAAACATCCAGATGCAGATAGTCTTTATGTAGAAAAAATAGACTGTGGTGAAGGGAAGCCTAGAACGGTTGTATCTGGTTTAGTAAATCATGTGCCAATAGAGGAAATGCAAAACCGTATTGTTATGGTGCTATGTAATCTAAAGCCTGTCAAGGTAAGTATATAAGAATGTGCGTCAGTCTGAAAGTTTATTCTCTAAAATTTGAAGGTCAATTGTAATTAATATCACACTAAATTGAGTGTTATTTATACACATATTTGCAATTTTAATTTCAGATGAGAGGAATAACATCAGAGGGCATGGTTATGTGTGCCTCATCTCCAGATAAAGTTGAAGTTTTAATTCCTCCAAGTGAAGCAATCCCAGGAGACCTTGTCATATGTGAAGGGTATCCCAGAGAGCCAGAAGCTCAACTCAATCCAAAGAAAAAAATATTTGAGACATGTGCACCAGACTTGAAAACTAATGATGACAAAGTTGCCTGTTACAAAGACAACCCATTAATTGTGCCTGGAAAAGGGGCAGTTACAGCTCCAACACTAAAAAGTGTTAGTGTAAAATAGAAATAAAATATACAAATGCATATTTTGAAAAATAAAATGAATTCATTAAAAAAAACTTGAATTTAATTTATTTTACAATCACAACTCTATTATTGCATTCTATAACTTTAAGTCATTGAAGTTTTGATAATATATCTAATAACTAACAATCACTCTAAGCCTTAACTGAAATGACTGAATGAAAATACAGAATATTAGAGGCAAAATCTGCTCAACAGGGCCCTGAACTTTCTGAGGTGAACCTCATGCATAAAACTTGGACATCTCATAAACAACTAAACAGGAAGCACTAATTCATTGGCAGAAAATGCCAGGATTAGTACATTCCATTAGTTCTGATACTAATGTAAAAATATATTGATCCTTTGGGTAAATACAATAAATGTATCATATATCTAGGACCCTTACTGGACACTGCAAAATAAATAGATACATTGTAGATTCAAGCATGTGCTTAAGAAAGATTTGCAGGTTTTGCCAAGATGAGGAAACTACTACACATGCTATGAAGTCGTAGTCCACTTATACATAAACGAATAACCCCTTTGGAAAGTACATACTATTCTGAGCTGATAAAAACCATCGCTTACTTATGAGCTGAGATCCTGCCCTATCTAGGTAAAAATATAAAATTGTCTAGATTACTACATACATACAAAGCCTATAACACAAAGAACAGCTGAAATTTGAGAATATCAAGTTGACAACTCCACACCTATTGGCTTTGTATCAATACTTTCGTTTAATAGAAATAATATTGTCGTGATTTTGTTTGTGTGGTAGTTTTATGCCACTTAACAAAACATTATATTCTAACAGTAGTAAATCTTTACGACAAACCTTGTTTGGCTACCCGGTAGGTAGTTTACCCCGCTTTATAATTTTCAGATGAGATTTTTTTATATCTTTTTATAGATTTATGTTTTTAGAAATAAGTTTTTGTCTATCCCAAAGTGGTCAGTTGTCTACAAACACATCCAAGACGGTTTCTAGTAGGTGCCTTAGTAGCTAATATGTCAAATGAAACAAGTTTTAAGCAATGTCAACAATATATTAGTTACATTATGTCAATTAACACAATTAATTTCCTTAAATAACAACTTTCTGATAGTAATTATATACTATTAGAAATTATATTTCTATTTCAGAGATAGAAAAATAGAAGGATGTGACAATGCAACATTAACTTTGAGACCACTTGAAGCATTTTTATACTCAATCTGACATTGTGGTCATATTCACAGCTCACAATAGCATAATTTCCTACAAATATATGTAAAGTTCTTCAATTTCTCATAGAAAACACTATCTATGTATATTAACACACCACCAACTCACGAATCAGTATGAAAATATTCCTTTATAATTAAATAACAAATGTGTGAGTAAACTCTGTTCACCGTGAACAAACACTCTAGACACTAAAGAATTATTATTTGTCATTTAATTGTGACAAATTGAGCCAACTCTGTATAAAGTGATAGTGTTATTATGTTAGCTAACCTAAGAAAATACTATTTATTTTTAAGCAAAATGATCTACAGAATGCATCAAGTAATAGTGCTCGTTATAAATCTTATATAATTATAATATCTAAAGCTCTAAATTATTAGAATTTATTCTACAGAACGTGATCATCACACACTATAATAAAAGATTTTGTACTGTTGATGAGTAAAAGGGTACACATCTGCACTATTACATATTTCTACAATTAATTTATTATGATGAAAAATTATGAGAAAATAGTATATGATGATAGTCTGAAGTAATGCAAAAACCAACATATTATCAAGGCAAGTAAAATGGTAAACCTAATATATATAATAATATTAAATTTAATGTAATTATTATATATATATATTGTACCTTTTACTTCAATTAACATCATATTAAAAATGCATCAACCTCAATAATATATACATATTTAATTATTTTTAAAGCTAAAATGAAATATTTTTAAATGACAATCAAAACAAAAGTTTACATACTTCACAACGGTGTACAGTTACATATTTGATGAGTATATACTAAATACCTTATAATACTTTGTAATAGTAACAATATTGACAGTTCCAAACACTAACTAATGTAATAGTGTATATATTATTGTGACAAGGTACAAAAGGAGATATATATTAAAGAATGCAAGAGACTCTACGTGTGTTTGTGATTAATAAATTTATTATCAGTGGCTGTCACTTATTAGCCTATGTGTTTATAGTTTAGAATACAAAATTTGCAGTTTAATGACTATACAGAAACATGTTATTAAATTATTTGTGGGGCCATGTCTGATCGTAACTTAATGAACAAATGTCACTTATTGGATTAATGTTGTCCAAAATCCTAAACAGATATTTTAAACATGTACTAATAAAAAGTATCGTAATTTAGTTAAGTTTCTAACTTTTGCATATTCTATCTATATAAATAAGTTCCTATAAGTATTAAACATAGGCCAATATTTGACTAGCGGATTGCATTACTCTTGAAAGCTATTATTATTTAAAGTTATTATTGATGCTTTGAAACTTACAGCAGCAGAATGGTATTAATGTCAACTTATTTCTAATAGCAATGACATATTTTCCATTTTAGTACAATTTAAATACAATGTACATACATATTTCATACAGGTATAAATTAATAATTTCCAATCTTACCACTATTTTGTATTAGATATTATTTTATTTAAATTCAATTCCTTCAATTGATAAATTGTAATATAATTCATTTGTACAAAAATATTATGAGAATACAAAAATAATAATAGGTTCTTACAGAAAAGACAAGGTTTACATTTATATTTCTGACTAAAATATATCTTTGGCAGAGGAATTAAATTCCAACAGCATCAGTATACTTAAGACTTAAATAAAAATATTAATTATAATTATTATTTGAAAGTTATTTACAAATTATTTATTAAACTTATTACATATAAATAAGATTTGAATAATAATGTAGAGAAATTATAATTTTTTTTTGTTATCTTTTAGCTTTATATTTTTATACCGGAGAATTCAATCGTGAATTCTCCGATAATCGATTAAACTTTTTATAGGTAACAAAATATTTTGGATACTATAGTCGTAGTCTTGATTAATGGCTCCGGATAATAATAAACCACCAAAAGTATAAAACGTTTTGTCATTTTTGTTAGGTAAACTTTTAGTTCAAAGAACAAATGTAGCATTCATTAAAAATAGAAATATATTTGTGTTCGAGCCGGAGTTGACGTTTTACTTATTGCATAATTTTTAAAAGGGCCAAATCCCTTATGTAGTCAATTCGTGGTAACTGTGTTAAGTAGCTAATTAAGTACTTAAGTTATAATAGTTTAATTACACATTGTACTTACATGATTTCCGTTAAAAAATTATCGTAATGGGCGAAATACGAATCACAAGTTGTTGAATTAAAAAAGTTATATTGCCTGTGCCTATACTAAAAATAGCAGATAATGAACCAAGTACAATTAATCAGTACCTACCAGATTTAACTCGTACACAAATATATTATTTACTATCTCCAGAAAGCTTATTGTATTTATTTAAACTTTATTGAAATTTTTCTACAATAGGCGGGCTTAATTCTAATAGCATTCTCTACCAGCCAACCTTAGGGAGTGCAGAGATATTCGAAGGTGGTTAGTTTACTATATTTCTTTCTATATTCTTCATTGTACAATTAAACTATGCTTATTTTTGTTTGAAACAAAGACTATTAATAAAAAATATATTCTGATTAAAATATTTTATAATATTTATTTTTAGACATACAAAGTCTATACTTAGAGCACTTTGTACATTGTAATTTTTTTGCACCAAGTACTGCTATCAATTAGCTTTATCACACACTTATCATTCTTTATTCGACAAATGTGTGAGAAGTTTTACATAAATAATAGTGGCATGAAAAATTACCTTTTTAAAAACATAATGACGATATGATATTACCAAATTCGAGTCATTTTAAGAAAACGGAACTTCGTATTTTAGTCGACCCACAGACTTTCAATTCTAGTTAATTGAAAACTATAGAGCTCTTCGTCAAGATTAATGATACAAAACTGAAATATAATACTATTTTAATTATTTTATTCTTAAATCTAGTAACTTTGATTTAGTTTCTAAAAGAACTGATGTATTACAAGAAAATAAGGAATCAAAATTCAAATTGATTGATTGATTGATTGATTCATCAAATGAATGTAATATAATTTATATAATACCATTTAAAATGATGTTAGTTGCAAAGATTCAAGGTATGAACTGGTTTCTATGCTATTTTTACAATCCTAGAAAGTCGTCGTCGTCACCCGGATTACGTATGTTCGCCCACTGCCACAAATGATAATGTAAGTATCGATGCCTACATACTTATTCCATTTGTGATTATAGTTTAGATGGTGTAGATATTTTTATATTCATAATCATAATGTATAATTAAATATATTTTTCTAGCCATATTCAAAAATTACATTTTCGTCGAAAGAGCTTCATAATTAGTATTTATTTAAAATTTAAAGAACAGCAGAATGTTCGCTAATATGACAAATAAAGAGTCTCTATTTTTCCAAAACTTTTAGAAAAATACATTTACTATTTGAAAAATTCCGATAGACTCATATTATGGACCTATAGTGTTCAAGTTGGGCAAATCGTCATGCTGGCATAGAATATAAGTTCATAACGATTTGTAGTTTTAAAAAATAACAGGTATATTTAAAAGTTAATTACGATTAATTTAAGTCTAAATTACAAAACAGTGCAGGATAAAATTTCGACTTAGAGATATTGTGTATATATGTATTAAGAAAATATTACTTAAGTACATTCGAATTCAATCTTAAAAGAAATAATCAAATTCTTCATAATGCAGTATTTTTTTCTTTGTCTCAATTATATTGATCTCATACCAAAGAGGAAAGAAATAATACTTTTTTATTACAGGTTTCGTACTGCAAACCTATACAAAATTACATGTGATTGGACAGCAAGAATTTTGATCTAATAAGAGTTTACAATAAGTCTTAAAGATACTATAAGTCTTAGGTAACAGAACACTAATATTATGTATGGACCGCGTGTATTAATTAGGCCTTTTTGATATGGCAATAATTGAACGTAAATAGATTAATATTGACATATATTCCTGTTACACTACATGTACGTAACTTGTACAGTTGCTGATATAAAATGCAATTAATATTTTTTTACTATTTAAACCTTAATCTACGCGATATACAGACTGTAGATTCGTTTTGTCTTGTATTAGACAAAACGAAATCTTCATACCACGATTTTATTCAAAGCGAAAATACTAATCACTGCTATAGTATTTACCATCAATATTAATACTTACTTCTAATGGATACTGTCTTACAAAAATATGAACAACATCTTGTCCTAAAAATAATAATGTAAAACACAATAAAAATAATGATAACAAACAATTTTATGCAGGTGATTAATACTGTATAAAAATAAACATATGTATATTAAAGTACAGTTACTTAGAGCAACATTTAAAGTGACAGATTATAAAGCTTTCGAGTTTTTAATCTTATAATTTAGGATCATATTGATGAATGGCACAGAAAGACTATAAACTTAAATAGGTGGGAAAGAAAAATATAAAAATATATAGTTATCTTGCTTAAAATGTACGCGTTTTGAAGGAAGACAAATTTTATTTATTCAATATTATAACATTTTCTAACACTTTGAACTAGTACATTTTGTATATACGATGTAAATAAATAATTGTAGATGGAATGTTCTATAACGTTGATCTTCTTTAATAAAGCAATATATTATTAACTAAATTATGCTACAGGATTGAAGTACCATGATTATTCTTCGTCATTACAAATTCAATTTCGTAAAAAACCTGGCATTGTGTAAAAAATTTTGTTCATTTGACGCCTGCTTCAAAATAGCATCAATTTCAAACATTGACTTGTCTAAATGTCTTGCGTCGAATGACTGATATTATGTTTTCATATGTGTTACGTCCATAGCTAGTGGTCACTAACAAGTCATTTGTTCGTATACCTGGACTGACGTCTAAAGCTGCGTAGGCGGGTATCGTCGTTGTGGTTTGCTGCGACGCTGCGCAAGCGTCGACTGCGAAACTGGACCCAACACTTGTGGAGTCAATGGCGATGATGTCATCGCCTGAAATTAAACAGTCAAAAAATATATATTTATACTACAACTGCTTGGAATATATCTACTTATATTGAAAATTTAAAGTCAGCGTAGCTAAAAATATTACAATTGGTACATAGATTTTAAACAACTTTACACAATTGGGATAGACATAAAAACTAATAATAACAATAAAACGAATTACCTATGTTAACTGACTTTTTTAATTTGTTAATTTTTTAATACTCCAAATACTTTACGCACAAATTGTAATTTAGTACAAAGAATCTGTATGCCATTTGTATAACATAAAAATAAGTTAATGTTTTATCATCCAACAAAGACCCATTCATAAACTAAAACTGAAATTGCAGTTTAGGTTTAAGTGTTTGCATTAGAAACTATATTCATGGATGTTGATATTAATCATAATTTGTTAAGGATTGGTGAAAATTGCTATTATTAAAATTTTTACTTTTCAATAAAATTATTTTGTCTCTTTAGTTTGTTTTGTTTTTTGTACACAAAATGTGATGATGACAATCCTATCGTACCTACACTAAATAACGAAAAGAAACAAGTTAAATTACGTGATAACAGTCAGAACAATAACTTGGCGGAAGCGGAAGCTGGATCTACCACTATTTCATGGAAAACACCTATGTCCAATTCATTTAACTTCAGAGAATGGATGATATTTCAAATATATTCAATTAGATGTATCATCAAAATATGATGCAAATCTTTTCCACAAGCTTCACAATGATAATGAAAGTACAGAAAAACGATAAGTACCTGGAAAGTAAGGTCGACAGCACGTCTGAGATCGGCGGCGGGCGGCGGGGCTTCTGTGTCAGTGAGGGGCTCGAGCGGGGGCGCGCGGGCGACCTCGTTGGAGAGCCAGGGCTCCCGCAGCAGGTCGGCGGCGGACGGCCGCAGCCCCGGCTCCAGCTGCAGCATGCGGCGCACGCAGCCGCGAGCCTCGCCCGATACGCCGCGCCACACTCCGCCGGACAACTCCACCTTCGGATGATCAACTAGCCTATTATGGTATTCATAACTTCACGTTTTCGTCACTGTCGGTTAATATGATCTAATAATCTGCTGGCCAGAGGTGCAAAGTAGTCATGAAAAGACAACATATGTATGCTAAATTACAGCGCTATACTAGAATTAGATATGAAGATATAAATAGTTGTTGCTAATTAAATAGATGTATACAGCACCACCAAATTTATATCTAAATATAAGTTACGCCAATATGTTTCCCAAAACTAGATTAAATCCTTTTTCTAATTTCAAAGTAAAATTGTATTATGCCTTAAGGTATCAAGTCCGCCTTGTGTACCTTTATTTGTTTATTTGCACATTATATAAAACTATACTTACCTTCCCAGACTCAATTCTTGCCAATATGGCCTCAGGTGTATCATCCCCTGTTGACGCAAACGGTGTTCGACCCGAGAGCATTATGTAAGCTAGCACACCTGCGTACAAGAGATAGATATACTTGATAAAGTTTATAGGAAATATACAGGGCAAGCATACATTTTTTTTGTTGGTTATTTCATGCGACATTCGCTGGACTTTAATATACCATCAAGAGGTTTCCTATAATTATACAATATAATTTATTTATATATGTGTGAATATTTTTAAAAACTTATGTCATAATACTAGATTTTACTATATAATTTGTCTAAAACAACTGTACATTTGGTATGCGTGTTTCAGAATATCTTCAATTATGATTTATTTGCATCTGTGTTAGTCCAAACTTGTGGTCAAAGGTCTAGAAATTACAAATCCACTGCTAGCATTTTTAATGAGTGAGCGCCAAATTAAACCCTAAGATGGCAATACTTCTTCACTGTCGCTATTTCTTCTAATATTGTAAAATCATGCACAACCATTTTGTATATTTAGTGTGAAATAAATGTTCTGCAGTTTCATAAAGACCGTTTTATACAACTTCATTATAGTAAAAAATCTTTTTAACACCCACCTAAACTCCAAATATCACAAGCTGCATCATATCCGGCACGTTTGAGCACCTCGGGCGCTACAAAGTTTGCAGTATAACACGGTGTCATTAGTAGCCCATTCTCGGCTCGCAATTGCTTTGCCAGTCCGAAGTCTACTAAACGAATATCTTCCGGCCTCTTTTCAGCAGTAGCAAATAGTATATTTGATGGTTTTATATCTCTGAAATATTTTTATATTATAACCAACGATGGTGAGCATTGAGACTTAAAAGGCTTGGAAATACAATTATAAATGTACGTATAGAGCAACTCATCATGATTACAGACTCCAGTGGTCGTGATTTGGAATTTGGTCAATATTGTAATTTAATATATTTATGTAAATTAATATATCCAATAGAAACATTAATCCAAAAATTCCTTCCTACTATTTCCTTTATTTAACAATGTATTTAATATGAAGCTTATTTCCCATTCTCTTATTCCTTCAATGTATGTTATCCTATATTTTCTACAAGACAAAGTACCCTATATACATACTTCTCATAATTTTATTACTCAAGTTACAGAATTTAAATCAAAACCTCACCTGTGTACAACTGTATGTCTGTGCAAATAATAAATTGCTTGCACAACATTCCTCAGTATAGGTGCAGTTTCATGCTCTGGAAGATAACGTCGTTGTGTTATATGCTCCAGGAGCTCTCCACCGCGACATAACTCGGTAACCGCGAGGATACGGTCACCTTCCTCATACACACCTCGTAACGTAATTATATGCGGATGCTGACTATATCTGAATAATAATAATACAAAAATTAAATATTCATAAGTTTTACGAGCAAAGACTAGATACTACGCAGACATTTAAATTATGTAATAAGATAATAATAAAGATAAGTTTACGGTGTCAGGGCTCACTTATAATATAATAATATTATTCGTAAGTTTTAAATTCTCCAGAAGCTGACAATGAGTATTTACCTTAGTAAAATCTCTATTTCTTCTCGAGGATCATACTGTAATTTCTCCATTATCTTAACTGCATACTGAACTCTAGAAGTTTTATGTTCACAAAGACGAACTACTGAAAACGATCCTGTACCTAATTCTCCCATTAATCTGCAAAGAAGCAATAATTAGAATTACAAAAATAGTACATACAGGTCAAATGTTTGACTTTAGAATATCAAAAAACGTTACCATTGTTAAAGAAAATATACCAACCTATATTCATCAAAAAAATTGTTCCTATTGACAAAACCGGCCCAGAAGTCTTCACTGGAAGTTTTATTGTTTGGTGCAACATGATTTTGATTTTGGTTATTAGTGACCGTTTTATTGTTATCATCATCCAGTAGACACGGTGCGACGAAACTGAAGCCCCTGTAAATGCACTTTTATTAAAACTAAAAGTAATAAACTTTTTTTAGCAGTAGCTAGCGTACCAGAATGAATCGATTTATAGAACAAGGAAAAACCTAATAGATACATTTTGTATAGCATAAGAGCTAAGAAAAGAAACTTATAACAGTGGGCTAATTATGTAACACGATATGAAATTGTTTCTGTTGAAGTTGTGATGCAATATAAAATAATTTCATTTTAAAAAATGCGATCAAGTAAGGTCGAATGACCGCAACATAAATCATTTCTATCGATAAAACACTACTATGAAGTTGCAGCGGAATATTGTTAATCCGACCAATTTAAAAAGTCAGTACATTAGATAGCTTATACCTTTAAAGGGATACATTTTAAATTATTGGGTTAATACACTAGTTGGTTGATTTGAAACAATTTTTATTGCGAAAAAAGGCGGGAAACGCTAAACTTGGCGGGCGCGTTTTTTCTTTTGATTTAAATTTTATACTTATTTTTCATTATTTAGTGATTGTGATACTGTATTTAGTTCTTTAATATCTATTTTTTAGTTTGTTTATTGTAGTTTGTATAAATAGTTATGTTTTATTGGTAAGTTTTTCGTTTTTTCATTTATATACGATCCCCCCGACCCGGGGGATTCGTCCCTCCGGTTATCTAACTATGTTACAATTTCATGCGAATCGGGTATGGAAACCGATACGTCTTGTTCAAACCGATCGATAAAACGCAGTCGGTTACAAAGATTTTGTAAAAGTTGTAATAAATGGAGAAGAAAAAATTCTTCAGATAAAATTACAGATTGCCACTGTACAGATGACATAAATGATGCCATTGAAATACAAAAACCTCTCACGGAAGTGATTTCCACTCCACAATCTGTAAATTTAGATCCCCCTCATCCATCCACATCTAAAGAAACAAATGAAATTAATAATATTTCTGAACCAGTAGCAAGGAAGATGTATGAACCCACAGACCATGCCCCATATTTAGTTCATGTAGTAAGACAAGAAAAGTCTCCAAATGACGGTACTACACTTCACCCTGTGACATTTGGTAAATTCCTCAAAAAACAGTATTTTAAAAACATTATTAATGGAAGTGTAAAACGCATTGGACGAAATAAAATTGCATTATCTTTCTCAGTTTATCATGATGCTAATACATTCATTAATCATAACAGTTTAAATGATTACAAATTACAGGCTTTTATACCAACATTTAATATTACACGTATGGGTCTGGTACGAGGTGTTCTGAGTGATTGGAGTCCAGATGAAATATTACAAAATATTTCTGTTCCTATCGGTTGTGGCAATATACTTAAAGTAAGACGGCTAAATTACAAACTTGTCGTTGATGGCTCTCCCACTTGGAAACCTTCTCAGACAGTAGTAGTCACATTTGATGGTCAGGTACTACCAAAAAGAATATTCATGGGTTATAATGCATTACCAGTGGAATTATACACTTATCCAACTATACAATGTTTTAATTGCTGTCGTTATGGTCACACTAAAATTCAATGCAGGTCAAAGCCACGTTGTTTTAAATGTGGTCAAAATCATACAGGAGAAACATGTGATGTTGAAGATGCTTTTTGCTGTTTATGTTCAGGAAATCATTTTTCTACTAGCAAATCTTGTCCAGAATTCAATAGACAAAAACAAATAAAGTTATATATGGCTGAAAATTGTATTTCATATGCTGAGGCCTCAAAATTGCACCCTGCTGTTACAAAGCCTTTTGCTGAAGTCCTTTCCACGCCATCAGCACATTTAAAAAATATATCTGAATCAAAAACTTATAATGATACTGCTTTTAAACAATCTTATAAAAAAACCGTATTCTTAAAACCTAAATCTCCTCATCCATCCTATGTTGGGTATGATAAAGTTGCCCATGAGAATATTATAAAAGATTTTAATATGCCCTCCCCTTCTAATGGCTGTGCGCTTAACAGTCAGTATAAAAATGAAAGTCAATCTAATATTACAGAAGTTATTATTTCATTAATCAACTTACTTGTAAATTCTAATATAATACCGTCCCACGTTGCCCCATTTATAGAAATATTAAAAAATCTACTCCATAATGGACCAAGTAGTCCAATGGAATTACAGAAGTGTACTTAGCAAAAAAAGTGATTTAATTCATTTAATCAATAAATATCAACAACCACTTGTTATTACAAGTTTGTGAATGTGGAGAAGATGTGGGTGATCTAAATCATATTGTGTTTTCCTGCTCCTCTTACGATCGTTCTTCATTTACAGAGACACTCATCTCATTAGAAATTCCTTTTCCTTCATCCATTGTATGCCTATTAGCTCATCCTAATCCTATAATTTATAAATCTCTTGCGTCTTTTATTTCCCATAATAACATTAAACTTTAAAACCCATGATCACTAATTCCGAGTATATTAAAAATTTAACCCGTTCCTTTCCATTATCCCGTCTCGTTTCCTGTTTTTAGTGGCATAATAGCTGCATAATAGGCTGGCTAGCCTCTTGCCAAAGAGAAAAAAAAAAAAATTATTGCGTTCAAAAATTACAAAATATACTGCAGCGTTCACTTGTTCTTTTATTTTAATTTTATTAATAGACATTTAATAAAATAAAATAAAGAAAGTCTATTCTATTCTAATGAAAAAATAAGGTTAATAATTTTGAATATAAAAGCATATTTTATACAAACTATTTATAATCATTAATAATATTAATCTAACCTACAAATTAAATTTTCTTTTCTGCTATAGATACCCAGGTAAGTACATAGGTATCCATATAAATTTAGAATGATATGGGCACATGTTTTTTAAATTTGTACATAATTGTAAAAACTTTAAACAAATAAATTTATTTACTTTAAACAAATCACAGAGCATCATAAACGTTGTATTCCGTTCACAGAGCACCGAATTCATTGAAATAGTTTTTTAATTATATTAATATCATAATCAACCCTAATTTTATATTAAACATTTACTCTAGTTAATACAACATTCTATGTGATTTGGGACGAAAATAAAATATCGAATTGGCAACACTGATGTCATGTTGTGAGTCGTGACAATTTTCCCATTTTAATAAATTTAAAACCTTTTCACGACTTTCTACGTAATATTTAATATAATAAAAATATATGTAATACTGAAAATTACCTAAAACAAGATAAATAATGCTGCTAATGCTGATATTTTAAAGATTGTAACCAAAAGAAACACCTTCTAAATTGTTTCTCATAATGTAAAAACTGTTTCAATTCCACGCTGTCATTTTGGCAAAATAGCGATTACGTGACGTTGCAACGAGGTTACTAAATCGACATTCGATAGAAATAATTTTTATCGATATGTAAAGTTGCGTTTACGTTGCAATGCTAGTTGACAGCGTCAAATGGCGTCAATGTAATCGCATTATTGACAGATGACGTCATTTTCACTACGTTACATACGAAAATCGTTGCGAACGAAGTTACATAATTAGCCCACAGATACCTAATTCAAAATTTATGTAAATATCAATAAATAGATTTGAAATAAATTATTGAAACATTCAGGAACATTGCCCTATTTGTGTTGCTATGTCATAAAAATATGTTAATAAACAGTAATTTTTCAAAAAATATGTACTGTTCAAATTGCGAATTTGTTGTATAAGCAATAAAAATTTTCAACCTTAATATACTAATTATTACAACTATCAACGACATATACGTTGATGTAGGTAGGTATTTGTTTAAGCAAAAAATACCTACCTACGTCAATGTATACAGATGAGCGTAAGTAACGTATATTACATAACCGGTATAATGACGAATATAAACATGTGTCACACATAGTTTCTTGTCTTATCGTAATTGTCTATGAATGATTGTATAATTACGTTTGTTTTATGTTAAATTGTAAATGAACAACTGTAATTATAAATTATTAAATCAGAAATGAATCAACTTCAAATTCAGTAATATATTATATATCCATATTTATATTATAAATTCGGAAATGATGTGTATATATAGACAGATACATAAGAGTATATCTGTCTATGTAGTTTGTCATTTAGTTCTCATGTCAATACACGTTTTGAATCAACGGCAAATGTGGTGAGCAACTGATATATACAAATAAATAAAATTGAAATGTCTGGTTGTAATTTTAAATTAACAGTTTTCCAGTAAATACATATATGAACAGTTTCATTTATAACATTGTATGCCGTTTGTTCTGGCTAATGGACGGATTTTGACGGTACTAGCAGATAGGGACTTGACACTTTATTTTACAAATTTTATTCATTTTAATATAAAAGTTAAATTCAATACGTTTCTTAGTTGAGTTTAATAATGATTAAAACTGGTAGTCAGAATTACTATTCTATTGTCCCTGTAATATTTACTATGTTCTTACATACATTAATTATTTCAGAATTTTCACATCACTAGGAATATGCTACTTACCTTTTAATAGTTAGTACCGCTGAACAGATATAAATGATAATTGATATTAAGATATATTTTTGAGATATAAGGATGCACAATGGATACCTTATATCTCAAAAAAAGCAGCGGAAACTAATAGTTATCTATAAAATCACTATCTGTCCCAGTCATATGCTTACATTACTACAATTTTATTTGTATATACATACACATATAATATACATAGAAAACACTAAGACCAATACAAACAATATCACTCATTAATATAAATCTTTACATCCTGCAAGGATATAAACTCGCGTGTACTAAAAATAAGGCAGTGTGCTAACCCACTGCAGCACAGAGGACATCAAAATGGATAAGTAGTTGTAAAATAGATAGATACAAAGCCCTAAGGATTCTAATTAATTTCTAAGATGTTATACCTGAAGAGTTCATGTGCATTAGCAGATGCTGGAACACCCGGAGAGTCTCTTGGTGTACGGCATGTGAACTCAGAATCAAAGTAAAAAGCATCATCAGCTCTAGAGACAGCCGGTCGAAATGGTGGCACCACCTTTGGAAAAGGTTACAAATAATTAATTACAACTGTGATTTGCTGTTACAATTTGTACGTGATATTGTATTCCAAATAAAGGAGGATGTTGATAAATTTGGCAATTATTTTGCAGACTGTGAACTAATTTAAATGTTTTTTTTTCATAGAAACGAACATATAGTTTTAATTTAACATGCAAATAAGTAATGGATAGATTATAAGATAGGGAGTAATATATTAAGGATTATTTTTAAGGTAATAGGGTTACTTAATTAATTAAATATAAGATTAATACCTCTTTCCTTAAAAGTGCATCCCACTCTATGTTTGCAAAAAATTCATGTTGTTTTATGTCCTCAATGCCATTCGGGCCTGCACCCAATCTGTTTTTAATGACAAGTACTTAATTTCAAAATCCAAATTCAAGAAATTAATTCTTAGAACAACTTATTTTTATTATGAGAAAATCAAAATCTTTTTCAAAATCAGTACTTTTGTAAGTATTGATTTTGAAAAAGTGTTCAAGCATGTGATTTTACCTTGATTTTATTTATTAATTGAGTGAGATAAACTAGTATATTAATAAAATGCTGCTATAATATTCACCCTTTAAACAATTAACTATACTGCATGGTCAAGATATATTTGTTAATTATCTAGACAAATACAGGATATTAATAACCTTAGTTACAGAGTTGATATTGAGGTCTAAGGCAATAAATTAACAAACTAAACTAACCGATTATGAGGATTCCGTTTAAATAATGCACGGAGTAATGACTGAGCTTCTTCACTGAGATTTGATGGCATACCAAGTTTCGCCTTTAATATTTGAGTCATAGTTTCGTGTCTTGTGGATCCATGAAATGGTAGATTACCGGTAAGCATCTCAAACTGAAAAAATGTAAATGTGGTATTTATACTTATATCTACCATCTAACATATAAATGGATAAAAATTTAAGTAATAATTATATTTTTTTTATTTTACTCATTATTTAATTACTTAACTAAATAATGCATAAAATAAATAAAAATACATTAAACTAAAAAAAATTAAGTAATATCCATTATTATGTTTACCATTAAAACACCAAAAGACCACCAATCTGCTGCAAATGTATGTCCTCTTCTATTAACAACCTCAGGAGCCATATATTCTACAGTACCACAGAAGCTATAAGCTTTGTCACTGCTTGGTGGCAATTTTGATAAACCAAAGTCAGTAAGGGCAATGTGACCATCTGCATCTAATAAAATATTCTCTGGCTTGAGATCCCTGTATATAATACCTAACCTGTGCACATGTTCCAATGCTAATGCTAACTCAGCTAAGTAAAATTTGACGTCCTCTTCTGTAAACATTACCTAAAAATATATATAATCCTTTATAGCAATAAAATAGGTATATAGATTTGAATCATAATATCATAATAATATTATAAACACGAAAGTGTGTAATCATGGATGTTTCTCGGATTCACTGAATGGATTTTAATTAAACTTTACAGTAATATAGCTTATGCATCAGAATAACATATAGGCAATATTTTTTATTTAAATTTAGTGCAGGTGAAATCACAGGCACAGCTGGTACAGAATATATTTATTAAAATCCCTCCAACTTAATAATTTCATTTTTGGATAATTAAGGAAAAACAATTTATACTATTATACATGGTTGGTAGGTTTAATAATACATAACAACAATATAGATAATAATTTATTGCATACAATACCTCTTTACTAAGGCGAGAAAATAGGTCACCACCACGTAGAAAATCTAATATTAAATATAATTTACCAGCTGTCTGAAATGCATAATGCAATTTTACAATAAATGGGTGACCCATTTCAACTAATATATTTCTCTCCATTTTTGTACGCTCTCTGTCTCTTACTTTTAATGTAGCCTTTTTAAGTACCTAAAATGTAACAATTGTATAAAATTCTTGCAGTAATATTTTTACAGAGAAATAATAAGTATGAGTTCACAAAACAACTCATAATATGTGATGACAAATCGTTCAGAATTATATAAATATTGACTGATTCTTATTATTATTATATGTAGACATATTCATTGGTTTAAAAGAGTATCCTAGTATATAGTAATAATGTATATGTAATAGTAATGATAACATTAGTTGTAATAGCTTATAAAGCAAAATGAATAAATTATAATCAGAGCCAGAACAGGTTTACATTTCTGCACAAGCTTAAATTTCAACACATATTCCTATAGTTCAATTTCAACAATGGTAAAAAAATCATACTGAATTGGAAGACACTGTGTAAATTGACTATTTATTATAATTACAATATAATTAATTACCTTCATTGCATAAAGAATCCCTGCATCAGCACCACTAACTTTTCTTACTAAGAACACTTTTCCAAAAGAACCTTCACCAAGAACCTTGAGCAATTCAAATTGAGATGGGTCTGCTTTATCATGCCCTTCTTTAACAACATCCTGAAGTACAACTTCTCTTTCATAGTTGACTTCATTAGAATCATTACTCTCTGCTGTGGATGCTTGTCGGGACTCTGCTGAAGTTTCAACAACCATTGGAAGACTTTTAGCGGACTGACCTGTGTTAGCACGCTAAAAAATAAAAATAAATTTAGACAATAAAAAATTATACTACTATAGCAGAGTAATTTAAACTAAATAGTTTTCTTTTTTTTAAAACCAGTAGTAACCCTTATTTATATACTTACATGAAATACTGCACTTGAATAATATTTAAAAAATAAGAAATTCAAATTAGCTAGGTACAGGAGTTATATAATTTGCGCTTCAAGCGAATACATAGATGTGATGAATAATATTTTACACATACAAAAAGCTTATTTTATTTCACACTTACCTACAATTAAATTACTGTCATTTAAATAATAACAAAAATACACGAATACATATGAGACTGCCGAATGGTTAATGCAATAATAAGAATGAGTAATAACAGCAAAGTGGGGAAAATCTTTACAAAAATTACGTATGAATAATTAGCTACGCAAACAATATTTCTAAACGTACCGTGTTATCTCCGACATTCTGCATTCGCCAGGGATCCGATGAATTGGCCAAAGGCATTATTCCTAATTTTATTCGGTAAACATTCAATGGAAACTCAAACGTAGCGTAAATTCAAATTACAATAACCACTCTAATCTCATTCTCACTCACAAAATGAAAATAAGAGGCTACAAGACAGACATACAATCAAGAAAACGTATCAAATGATCAACACCTCAACACTACGTGCCGAACGATGGTGTGACCAGATTTAAATTTGTAATTTTGCTAAATGCATGACTAAATATTCCTAAATATTTCAGAAAAAGTGCCAATATTATGGCTGCCGATTGCAACATAATATGCTATACAGACAGAAATACATATACATATATTTAAGATGAAGAACTATGCGTATAGGTCTTTAAACAATATGTTCGCGTCACTATAAATACTATAATAGTATTTTTTGGGAAAATAAATGGGTTACGATTATTCCAGGCCATCAAATGTATTTATATTCGACGGTCTAGGTAGTCACACCAACGCACTCCTGTTGATCGCAAGTTTAATCCCTCGCTTTGTAGAAACATTCGTACTCATGATTATGTTTGTTTGTACTTTTGTATAAATTCTAAACTGAAGTTAACGATCTAGACGATGATCTAAACTACATAAAACCCTAAATTTTCACCCTTCTTAGCCCTTCTATCATCAACCCCTATTTTTTATAGCGATTTTAATTTATATGGCAAAACAACAATAATTTTTATATAAACAGAGTCCATACACAAATATTCCTTTATGCTATAATTTTTTTCTGAAAGAAATAGTGCTGCAATCGCAATATTTTGATAAATATGGTTACCCTAAAGAATGGGGCGGGTTGAATATCAGACCCGAACGGCTGATTGACTGACATTTCAGTTTTGTTTGACTGACATTACCCTCAGCTCCGAAAAGAACGATACGTAAGTAATCCTAAATTTCATAGAGTTAGTATACTGACTCTACGTTTCTGTCTAACACAAATCCACCAAAAGGACAAAACAAATACCTACACAAATAGAAAAGCTTAAAGCAGTTAAAGCTTGAAACTAATTGTTAGTGAGTATGATTTATATTTCTGACTGATCGGTGATAACAACCTAAATTAATCATAGTCCGCGGTGGTAAGTTCGCCCTTGCCAGGTTTGATTTTAGTAGGTACTTATTGAAAAGTAAACATATTACATTCACCACAATGATGTCAACTATGCTTGACAATGCCTTGGACTGAGGGGAAAGGGGATTGTTAGTAATGTGGACTGATCATCTCATTGCTAGCAATATACCATGTCAGGGTGACCTCCACGCGGTTCCTCCTGGAAACCATCTGATAAATTCTTGTTAAATTTATCACTATGGGCTGACTGACCTCACCTCATGCTCATCTTAGCATCCTCCACTGGTGCCCCGCCAGCATAAACCGTTAGCGCAGGCGGGTATACCATTCCATTATCATCCATTAAAAAAAATGGACTATCCAATCTGCTATCCGGAACAATCGTATATGAACTATTTTTTCTTGTAAACTATAAAAAAAATATTATATAAATTCCAATATCTTTTTAGGATTCCGAGTGTGATAAGAAACAGAATCCTTATGGTCGGATCTAATGGATTATAAGGTATTCATTTCTTACCACAGTTCGGAACCCTAACAAGATATTGGAATTTATATAATGAATGGATGCAGCAACAGCTGCCCTCAGCTATCGCTCCAGTTACAATACGTTTACCTTTTAAAAATATTGCCATCCCTAAAAAGTATCAAGTAAATAGTAAATGACTAGGAATATATTAGTATACTACAGCCTATAATTCATGACTATTCGCAAATAATGGGCTAACTGACCCGACCGATTTCATCCTTATCCTTTCATTCTCCAATGTTATTCCGTCATAATAAAAAAGTATAAACCGTTTTACTATTCTTACCTCCTTTCAAAATTTATTCGATATACAAAAACAGACGATTTGTCAAGAACCAATTTAATTTCAGCTACTTTGAACTCGTTCCTGATTATAGTAATCCAATTACTTAATATCAACGTTACTATAACTTATTATCTATAATCTGTGTCCTAAACTAATGATGAATTATGGTACAGATGTAGTTACCCATACAAGTAGGTACATAATTAATTGCTAAGATACATTTATTTAATATTTTTCTTGTGTTTACATACAATCTGATTTAACTACCTATATTACCTTTATTTATAGTATCTAAGTACCAGTAGTGAATCAGCGCATACAGTGTAGCAATGGAATTAATAACTATATTATCATATTGTTATACATTCATTGTCACGACTAATAATCAAAATGGAGTTAGAGGTATCAACAGTTGACGTCGTGTCGTGGCAACCGCTATACTTAATATTTCGCTGGGCACTTAAAACATATTTAAATTCAACATTGTAGGGAGCGAGCTTGATACTTTCTTAGATTTTCGTTTGTTATCATTCTTACCGTCACAGATGATCCAGTCAGAAGTAGTTTTTTTTCAACTCTGCGCTCTGCCACCGTTAACTCTGATTCAGTTTATAAAATGTTTTTTTTAGTCTAAACTGTCGATCTCGTCGTTTTAGTCGAAACAATCGAGAGTTAATTATAGTATATGTCCAGTTTTATCAGAAATGTTTAAGGATTAGGTATTATATATATATCCTACGTAATTTATATGTATACCTAATTTTGTTTTCGCAGAGCCCAAGTCAAGGCAGAATAAAGTAAGTTGTAACGTAGATGATTTAACGTCGAGAGCTATTGGTGATTTCGGTAGATGGCAATGCCGGATAAGCGCTCTTATGGCACTACTAAAGCTGCCAATAGCTTGGTACCAATTAAATATAATCTTTTTGGCGCCACCACAAGAGTTTTGGTGTATTAAACCAATTATGTTTGACAAATACTCTGACGAAGAGTGGCGTCAAATGTCAGTGCCGGTATGAAATATAACTGTTTATATATATTATTGTCTAAATGTTATTTTTTTATTTATTAGAAAACCAACATCTTACTATCCAACACATAAAATCAACATTACATTACTTTTATATAATACCACAAATAAGATAATAAAAATATAACACATCCTACCTCTCAATTATTTCGCTGCCATGCCTTATTGTTCAAACATAAACAACACTGTCAAAACAAGTTGTTAGATTGGGATTAGGCGCGACAGAGATAGGTACCAACTACCAACGTAGACGACTTCATAAGGCTTTTTTTGCTATAGAAACCCTTATCCAATTATATTGCGTGGTTTAGATGTAAATTAAGAAAAAATTAAATTATATTTATTTTTATTTCTTCATTTACTTCGAATATGTATCCATATTATGTTAGTAAATTTTATTCATTCAATTCATATATTTATGCCTATTTCGCATTATGGCTTCAAAACTGCAAAATCTATTCGCGCTGCTGCAAGCATCTCTAATGCGCTACAGAACTGAGGGAGCCCAAACAACATCCTAAACCCATTATCATACTATATTGTCCGCGAAGAGCGCTGTATGCCCTCTGCGTATACCTAAACCATATGCTGCACCTGTAAAACGACTGACAATACGCTTGTCTTCACGTCGTTATTACACCGTGTAAACCTACGGGCCAGCATATTACATCGGACCGACAATGCTCTTTGCTCCCTCTATATATCAGAAACATCAATTCTTCCGATACAATGTAACCGAGGTATTTAAAACGCGACACCCGATTTAATGTATCATATTACTCGCGTTTCAGATTTAAGTAAGTATATTTAGTCAGTAATGAGCTTAAATTTAATTATATTCATGATGAAGTGAATCTTAGTTAGATTCAGATGTAATTGTTTGAATTCACAGCGAATTGAAGAATTTCCATGTTTGATTTTCGATCCGAATATGCTTATTCGGACACACAAAATAAATAAATATAAAATACCGCTAGTCGAGTGCACAAACTTCACTTACGACCAGGCTTTATTCACTAGGACCATCACATCTGAATGGAATTTAGTATGCAGCAAACATTGGTTGGTTCATGTATGTATTTGTTAAGAAAATGTTTATAAAACTATACACTATATATTGTACTACACTATAACTATACAATAAAATTGGAGTGTGTGTTTGTAATATTGAAATAACCGTTTTTTACTACATGCATATGAATATAAATACGGTAGGTACATACACTAAAATAACATTTTTTATAATTATTGTTTGGCTGTCCGTTTGTTCCAGCTAATCTCTGAAATGGCTGGACCGATTTAGTCGGGACATTTTTTGGCAGGTAACTGATGAAATAAGGAGTAACTAGGCTACTTTTATTTTAGAAAATTAGGGTACAGATAGTATAATAATAATAACTCAGGATAATTCACACAGCGCCATCTAGTCCCAAACTAAGTAGAGCTTGTTTTATGGGTACGAAACAGTTTATAGAAATACTTAAATACATTTTTTTGTGAATAGAAACATAATACACCACATACTACATAGAAAACACCCAGATCAATCAATACAAACAAGTATAAAAGCAACAAAACAAAAATTTCAGTTGTCACAATGTGTGATGATGTGGGGCGTACTTCTCGGAGGCATAATTTTCGGAATATTGGCTGACAATTATGGTCGAAAAGTTCCACTCATTGTCGCAATAATTCTTCAAAGCGAAGCCAGTTATATTTCCAGTATGATCCCATGGTACTGGGGTTGGTTATTTGTTTGGTTAATATTAGCCCTGGCCTCTGGAGGCATTGGGATTATATCATTCGTAATATGCATGGAGGTTTGTGAGCATTAACTGTATTTACATAGGTATCTGTAGTTATGTTAATATACATAAAAATACAATCGCTAAGTAAGTAAGAATCCGATACCTTAGGGTGCGGTTATTTTAATAGGTAGATAATTAAGTTAGTATACAGATATGAATGAAAGAGCAAGAAGTGCTATCGTCCTCATCGTCGATCTCTTATTGTATTAATTTACTAATAAAGGCTATAACAGAATAGCAGAGAGGGTGGACTCACAGCCCCCTCTGAATTATAGACCGTTTTGTCTCGTTATTACTTTTAAATTATATTATTATATATATAAGCAGCAATTGTATTAGTTTATATTGTAAATAAAGATGATTATTACATTATAACAGATTATCTAGACTATCTATATATTGACTAGACCAGCTCTTTGGGAGATGTAGGAAAAAATCTGCTGTCAAAGTGGGAGATGATTCGAACGTTTTATCGATGTACGTTTTGTTGTAATTACAGTCCTAATTACCTATAGATATGTATAGGAGCATTGAGGCTAGTCTAAAATAGAGTGTAAACGCGAAATAAAAAGATGCATGCATGATATAGTGAATGATTTTATTTTATTTTATACAGGCAGTTAGTGGCAAATGGCGAACAATTGTACCAATAATCTATCAATTGCCATTTGGGCTAGGAAGTTCTGTTATGGCTGGAATTGCTTATTTCTTCAGAGATTGGAGACAACTAGAATTCATTTTGGCGAGTATTTCTGCAATATACATTTTGTATTGGATTTGGGTACCAGAGTCACCGCGGTGGTTACTAGCGACAGGGCAAATAGATAAAGCTCTAGGTATTATTACTTTTATTTTAATAGCAATTGCTACCGACTATCAATAGCACTACATATAATATACTATTTACTATTGTATGCTTGGTCATGTTACGTTTACGTTAATTTTAATTATTGTTCAAAGTTTTCGTGTATACCTACCTATTTATTTTATTAATACACATATAGGGGGGAAATATAATAATATATATTAATATCTAAGCCGTACCTGCCTATTATAATGTGCAGAAAAGTGTCTCGTATAAAATTTGTGGCTTGATTTATACATTTTATTCATTATAAAAATAATAAGTATATTGTGTGAATATCTGTTATTATCAAACAGTCAGTGGTTATTTCAGAGGTGTTGAGAGTGGCAGCGATACAAAATAAGAGGGAAAATAATTTGAAAGATATTGAAAACTTGTTATCTAAATGTAAAGGACAGAAAAGTAAGAATCCCGGTTTCATAGACTTCTTCAAATCAAAAAATATGAGAAAAAAGACTCTATTGTTGTCCTTAAGCTGGTAAGGATTTATTTATGAATATAGATATTACTGAGTGGTAGATTTTATACAACATATTTTGTAGGTTTAGTTTAATTTAAAGAGTGAGTGGCAATGAAATTTCAGGTTAAGGTCTTAAGGAGATATGACCTGAGGACTAAGGTGTTCTATCTCCTTAAGTCCGGAATGGCAACGCTTGAGGTTTACCTTAATTGTCACATGACGACGTTATTTCCGTAGCGCTGTTCATGTTATATAGGCTGCGCTGGCCGGTCAAGCGTGGAGGATGGCGTCATCGTCGCGAATTAACCAGGAATTGACCATGATGGATTCAAGGAGGAACTCAGTAATCTTATACATATATGTACCTAGTGCATTGCTAGCATGGGGCCATAGTATTCATAACAATCCCCTCCTACGATATTTGTGTATGAATACGATTTTAATACAGAAGGCATACTGCGGTGGATACAGTTATTGATTTTTTTACAGGTTTTGCACAGGATTAGCATTCTATACTTTTTCACAATACCTTGGCCTAATTGGGGCAAATATTTTTTTAACTGTAGCATGGAGCGGCATTATTTCAACTCCAGGAGCAATTTTATGTATTTTCATCGTAATGAAAACTGGTAGAAAGATGACGGTCTGGATATTCCAGCTTATGACAGCAATGTGTTTTGTATTTATACTATTTACACCTAAGGATATATTTGTCAAAGATTGGCCAAGACTATTATTTGCTGGCGTCGGATTTGCGGGTTTAGCGGTAAGTCTTTCAGATTCAGGTACTTACAGTAACTTTTATTGTACTTACATAGTTACTTAAAAATGGAGTTACATATAGTAGGAGTTATTTTGATTTTGACCAACGCCAGCAAATTACTTATTTCCGCTGGTGTTGGCTCCGGTGACCATATTAGACTATAGGTACACATAAGTAACAAAATGATTAATTCGGCTTGATGGCTTGACTGAATTCACATATGCTTAGCGAAATGTTGATATGAGAATAATGTCATTACGACTGATTGCTGAAATTAGTAGCATGCTCGATTAATTGTAGGTATTTAACTGCTCCCACTGGAATTAAATACCTGATCTACATATATAGATATACCTATTACCTACATAATATATTACCTCATGAAATTGTGGATGGTTACTTTTTAATTTTTGTAATTTATCAGTTAATCCTATAGTCGTTTGTCATTCAATGCCTTATCATATAGATGCAATGAAATTCTTTAATTTTATGCGGAAGACAGGTTATTACCAGCTTTATCATTATTAAAATAAAAAAATTACCACATAGGTACAGAGAAACAAATAAGTACCTATTAGGGATTCATTTTTTGTATCGTTTTGATGAAGAGCTCTAAAAATAAAGCTGATTTTCATCAGGGAACGGTGCCAGCACTGTACCTTTTCTCTGGCGAGCTGTTTCCAACTCTCGGACGTAATGCAGGCGTTGGTGGAGTTACTATGTTTGCTCGCATTGCAGCAATGATAGCACCGGCGGTGGTCAGTCTGGACGAAATATTACCAGACCTCCCGCTAATATTACTGGTCATCACTTCTTTTATTCAAATGCTATTTATTGTACCCCTGCCTGAAACAAAAAACTGCCCCCTACCCGACACTTTGGAGGAAGCAGAATGATTCATAAGGTAGAATATAATTTATTTATTTTTATATAGGTACAATATAATTTTATTTGAAGTAACTTCATAATATTTTATGAGACTGAAGTTTAGCTAGCTTATCTGTCTAACAAGCAAACGGTTAACCCACTCTAATAAAAACCGATAATTGTAGATTTATTTATTTTTAAAACAAGCTTGTGATAAGTGGTAACCGGCGGCTATAGGTATACATGAACAGCACCATTTACATCATAATGTGACGTCCGTGGTACTATTCATGACTATAACCTCTCTGACATATTTTTCCTTTCAAACCGGAGCACAGCTTACAGGTAACACTGTAGTGTTAAACACTTCAAAATCTTTTACTTTAAACACATTTGGTTATGTTATGTACTTGCAATTCCCAAAGATAAATTTAGAAACTTTAGCCTCAATATAATTCAAAAGCAGTTCATTTACGTGAATCACGTTTACATAATACATTACTTTATTTCAGGGAGAAAAAAAGGATGCTATATTAAATGATTCGAAATAATAAACATAAATAGACACGTAATACAAAATTTATTAACTTTTATAAGATATAAATAGTGCAAACGTTAGATACGTACTCACATTGACCCCATTGTCTTTTTAATATTCCTGATTTACAATAGGAACTTAAATGGATATAAGAAATTATTCTGATAATTGAAATATTAGCAGCAATTAAGCTGTCACAAAAGATAATTGAATAAAGATGTAATTAGATAAATCCTATTTCTCTAAGAACTATAAGCTATTACAGATTACAAAGCCATGCTGTAGGTAACGAGATATTTGGCATCGACGACAGTTGTCTCTACAAGGAATGAAGGATATGTGACTGTCGATACACTTGTGACCTTATACATTATTAATATGAAGATAATTATATCTTATACATATTGTTCACACTCATGGACTTGAGAGCTATGTAAATAAATGTAAATCAAGTTTCAGTCATTGTTACAAATATTCTTAACATACATTTTACATCAAATATGCGATTAAATGACATAGAAATTAACATTTTGGAACAATAGTCAATGTAACCTCCTTATTTTTTGAAGACCTTATGTCTACAAATTACACACTACCTATAAAGTGAAGACAGACAATATGCAGCTAATCAATACTATTTATGGTGATTCTAGTAGTTTAAAGTATGTAATAGTAATGGTAAATCTAAAAATGCATTCAAGTCACGCACCATTAAGGTACCACCAAAAATTAGTTAAACTAATCTTGTTTCTTACTTATTGTTTGATTATTTATATTTTCAATCCTATGTAGTAATGTTGGATGGGAATGATACCAAGAAGAGTAAAGTTTATCATAAATTGGATAATCCAAATTATCCTTACCTAATTTAATAAGGGCTGACCTTAATTCATTAGGATAATTTAATGAAACAGCAAAGTTATCAGCTTCAAATTCAAACTTGCGAGATAGTGCTGTAGCAAAATATGATAGAACTGAATTGTATGGAGCCAATATCATCTGCAAAACTACTATTAAGCCAATAATTATAGGTTCCTGGCCAGTTGGGAAGCCTAGTGATGTGTAAAGCATGGAATATTTGAATAATAATCCAAATCCAGTAAACAGCAATAACAAATTAATTTCAGTTAATACAATTGATTTATAAATATGACTACAACTCCAGTGACCCAATTCATGTGCCAAAACTCCCAAAATTTCACTTTCAGTGCAACCAGTTGTTTTCTTTTTCTCTTCATCATATTTTTCTAACAGTGTATCAAACAAGACAATTCTCTTTGCACCAAACAGACCGCTGAAATATGCATTACTGTGGGCCGATCTTTTAGAACCTTCTACAATATAAATTTGAGACAATGAGAAATGTAGTCTCGAAGCCAAACTTTCAATACCTTTCCTGAGAGAACCTTCTGGTAATGGAACAAATTTATCAAACAGTGGTGCAATGACAGATGGATAAATAGTCAAAAGTACAAGTGTGGCTAATGTGGTAAACAGCCACAACCAAACAACAAACATATTACCACCAAGCATAATAATGTAGATTGCCACAGATATAATGGGCAATGTAATTACGAGGCTTAACAACAAAGACTTCAACTGATCTTTCACAAAGAAACCTACAGTTTGTTTATTGAAGCCATGCTTCTCTTCCAACACAAATGTACTATAAATTGTGAAAGGCATATTTACAATGAAATTAAATAAAGTTACAAATGTCATAAATACGCAGCTTATTATAATTTCTCTGTCAGCTGCAATGTTGAAAATGGCAGCAATGTTTTCTGACTTGTTCCAAGCAACATAAATCCAGCGGTTGTACAAGATTATTGTTGTTAATATTATACTGTAAAATTCCTTGACTATTTTGAACTTTGATCTATCAATTCCATACAGTCTAGCCTTTTTAAAAGATTCTTCATTCAGCATTTCTTTCAAATCATTTGGTATATCATTGTTCGTTTGATAGATTTTTAACTGTAAAAAATAATATTTCCATATATCAAGTTAACAGTACAGCTATCTATACTATAGTATGGTCCATTCTGAATTAACTTTATAAACATAATTAACAAGTATAATTCAATATTGAAGACTTTTGTGGTTTAACAGTGTAGTCCACAGAATTACTTCCGATGATACAAACATTTGTATTCATGAGTATGATTGTTTATATTAGTCAGTGTATTTTCTATGTATTTACCAAAAATATATGTATCTCTATCAGTTGTCTAGGACCCATATAAAATAGTTTATTTTTTCTTACACCTATGTGCTATTTAATTAATTTATATTATTTTGTTACCATTAACATGCGTGAGACCACATCACAGTCCCCGATGAACAAACCCATAATAGGAAAATTACAATTTTACAGGAGTAAATAAACCTGAATATCTTGAAAACTATCAAGAATAAAAATTATTTTATCAAGAATAGGGAATATTTGTTTGCACTAGATTTTTACTATATGTTATATATTTTATTATAAATTTTCTTTAGTAAGAAAATTGTGAATATGTCCATTACTGAAATAAGCTATGGAAATTACATTACTAGCTATGGAAAAAATTAACGCAAAGTAACTTCATGACAGTGTGTCTATTCGGTGTTGCTATAGTAATCATTCATTGTGATATTGTTCCATGGTAAATATGAATATACTTTCTATTGGTAAAATGACATTGCAATCATATTCGATGATATAACTGGCTTTAATATTACGGTTAAATAAATTACATGCTTATTTGATGATTATTTTTAGGCGTTATGAAAGATAAGCAATGAAATTAACTCAAACAATATGGTAATAGCTGCCAACGCCAAAATTTTATCCTTTGTGTTTTAGTAATAGGTTTTTACGTTATTAATCATGTAAATTTTTCACTTATGCTATCTATTTAACAAAAACATAAATATCATTATTGAATTGCTAAATCCAAAAGTATAAGATTGTAAAAAATCTCAATGATTGTAATAGAGTGTTGTAGATCTATTCTATCGTAATAGCGATTACCATAATTTTCATCGGGGACTGCGACATATGACAGCGGAATTATACAAATTAATATAAATCTATTAAGTAATGTAATGTATCATCTCAAAATAACCCCTAATTCGATATAATATATACTTTAATAGTGGTTAGGTTAAATTTAAGATATTTTTTTACATTGTAATATATAGATCTTATTACCGCTGCCGCAGCCTAGATTAGATCAGACATTAAGTAAATTAATTAAAAGTAATCAAATACCATTAAAACATGATAAAATGATAACCCTGGGGCCATCAGATATGATAGAAATGTGACTTTGCGGAAAATGCATCTTTGACAAAATTATTGATTTTGTGTTCTTCGTACATGCAGTTTAGCAATCAATAAGTGCACTATGATATATGTGAAATATTTACCTGTCTTAAAGTAAGATATTGCTCCCACAGATATTCTCCCCATGAGAATAGTAGAATTAGCAATATAATTATGCTTTCATTGATGGCCATCATTTATACTGAAAAATCCTAAATACGGATATAAAAAATTATATTAATGCGAGACAAAGATAAATGAAATATGCCGGAATGGTGCCGGATTTCTGTTTTGACACTTGACTGTTTTGTTTTTTTTTTAAGTAAATGGAAACCCTTCTCTTGAAAACGAAACTAAAATCTCTCTGAGCAATGCTTAAACAAAAATAGTTAGATTAAAACAGCAACCAAACATATTTATTACATTTTGATTGACGATGATAATTACCAATAAGATTAACAGTCCGAAAAGATCAAGTTTTCGGATTGTTAATTTTAAGTTTTAGGCGATATTTCCAGTTTTCTTTCACCATAAAATGAATATTATGCCTATTATACATAGATTGTATAAGAGAAAGAGATAAGAACAGTTGTTCCCAGTAGGTCATAGAGTGAGTGATACTTTTCCTGTTATTTTTCAACTGATAAATAAGGATTATAGTACAGTGACTTATTAAAAAGTTGAAAGACAAGTAGCTTATTTTTTTAATTTATAGACTAATTTCTAAAAAAAACGGCTTTATATGATGATTATGTGCTCAATAATGGTTGCTGCACATTTATAACTATTTAATTCACACGTCACAAAGGAATGCTGCATTTTTTTCTATTGTATGTGTGTACTTGATTGTCCTTCGAATTTCTTATAGTAAAATATAATATAAAGCAAGAATAACTAATTAGCGTCGTGTATTTTTAGTAGCGCCATCTAGTGAATACAAAATGTTATTTTCTTCATTTAATGAGTGATTTCCAGATGAATATATCGTTGTGCGTAGTTGTGTTGCAGTCGTAAATTGCACGGAGACGATAAACATAAGCGTGATCTCAACCGGGTCGTGCAGACAGCTAGTCGATCCCATCCAATCCCATGTGTTGTGAGAAAATAAAAACTAGTTATCTATTACCCATTATGTTATCTGTGTTATTACGATAAATATATAAATATAATTTATTTATACACTCAAAGGTGTCTTTCTATCAGTGCCTTACACAGATATTATAAAGACCTGTAAAGATAGAAATGTGTGAGAAATGGAAGTGCCATTTTGGCTACTATACATCAACATTGAACCAAGGTCTATGGCATGTTAGACTAAACAGCAATATTAATAAAACCCCTTGGTTTTGTAAGTCTACATATTTTCACAGTAGAAAATTTTATTCTATTATATGTCGTTTAAGATTCGGATAGGGTACTGGCACCAGTAGTCAGCCTTTTAGTGGTAAGTCTGGGTTCAAACTTATATAAGAAAATATTAGAAAGAGTAAATTGAAAGTCTTTTGTATAATTTAACTTACTTATTTATTAAACTTTGTTACAAAATTAACAAAAATTACAAATTTATCCTTTAATAAAGTGAAAAATACTTTTTAACAAAATAAGGCACTTTTCACCAGTGCTCAGCCGCCAAAAACTAGTACTCAGCCATATTGCCACCAGTGGTCAGCCTCTCTTAAGATCAATAGTTTCAAGCTTAAAGATTAAGAACATTAATAAATAATTAGTCCGGTCATAGAACCTAAAAGGACTTAACTGTGCCCTAACAATCACAACAATCAAATACCTATCTAACTTATATTTAAATCAGTCGGAAACTTCTTTAGTAACATCAGTATTTAAAAAGATTTCAAGTTCTTCTTCTTTCTAAAAGTCGCCGATTAACAATTTTTTTAGGAGCTTATCTTCCTTACAGGTCCTTCTCCTTCTGTGTCAGGAGTTTCAGGATATAGAAGTATATTACTGAGAATTTTAATTTTATTTTGTTTTGATTTCCAATAAATCACAGCCTGTCTTTGTGCATTTTACGCTCAATTCCTAATTATAATCATAATTTTTCTTCTTTGTAGTCTCCTTCACTTTACTTTTGGTAGAATCTAGAGCTGCTTTTTTTCTTTTTTTGTATAAAAAACTATATAAAAAACAATTTAAATATGGACGGTTGAACACTGGGTCTACTGTCACCAGTACTCAGCCATGCAACAAACTCTAACTATTTAAGTGGCCGACTATTGGGTTTTTGACAAACAGCGTTAAAACCAGTAGTCAACCAGGGGTGGTTGAGTACTAGATAATGTATATAAAAATGGGACCCAGTAGTCGGCCACTTCATTATTTAATAATTCTTAAGAAAAACATGATACTTTTCATTGATTACAATGCCAAAACTATTAATTAATGTAAATTTTAATACAATGTGGCCTAAAATTAACAAAATAATGAAATAAATTACCGTTTCTGTGAACGCTTCTCACTAATAAAAAAATGGCGCGCACGCCGCATGTCGCCTCGTCAGCCGATGACGTCGAAATAGATTCATATTTAATGTACTTCGCAGCCACGTAGCTATTATGTTTGGATTTAATTATAGCAATGAGAAGTCATAGAAGCTATTTAAAATAATTTGATTAGGTATTTTCTATTATAGCGCTATTCCTATTGGTTTTAAACCGAAAAAGGCTGAGTACTGGTGCGGGGCCGACTACTAGTGCCAGTACCCTACTGTCGTTTTCATTTTCATCTTTTCCGGCTAAAAATAGCAAACACTCCTTTATATGATTATTGTCATGTGGAGCAGATCAAACCCTAAATCATCTTTTCTTCTCTTGCACGTCTTTCAGTATTCAGCGCCTTGTGGTGATAGATGAGCTTATCCAAATTACAATAAGGCTGAATTTGTCCCGCGTTCCATGGAAGATCTACTAACTAATCAAAATGCTTATCCGTCTCTGTATAATTTTGTACATAGTTCTGTTGGCGAAATATGGATAATTGTATTTTTAATATACACGTACTTTTTTATATAGGTTTTGTAAATATTCTATTTTGTTGTAATTATTTGTCCTTTGATTAAAATTACACATGTAATAATATTTGACTCTGAGATGGTACCTCTGGCTAAGATAATGAAACATGGAAATGAATGCTTAAAACCTGGATATGATTAATTACATAATTATTATGACTAATTATATGGATTACTGAAGAAAATGATTTCGGACATTCTACTTAAGAAATAACTTGATTGAAGCAGTCAGGAATAGCTCGGATAATAATTATTGATTTATATACTGAATATTAATGTAATTACTGCCTAGGCAGTATGGGCAATGCTCTTCGCCTATCCAAATTGGACGAATTTCAAAATAACAACAATTATTTATATACCTACGTTACTATATTTATACAATTTGGTAGGCGAAGAGCATTGCCCATTAAAATTATAAATATCGTTACTACAGCAATCTGTTAATTAAAAATGTTATATAACGTAGATATAGTTTTGCCAATATATTACTAAAGGATCTAATATGCAGTATAGGCTTTTATTACGCTTAATTTCTATACTAAAAATATTTTATACCGCACGAAATAAAGGAGGGTAGTTAATAGGCTAGTTTAAAATTTTGTGATCACAGATGTCGTGACGTAAGTTACATTAACGTTGCTAATTTTTTTATTAAAATGTTTAATTAAAAGTGATCGAATCAATCAAATTTAGAACGATAGTCAGTCACGTGATGTGTGGCGTCAATATTATCCCATCAAAAACATAAATGTGAAATGATAGCCGATTTTATATTATGATATATGCCTTGATTGTTGACTTCTACCACAAAAGAGATGAGATCTAAATGGGTGCCAAGTTCAATGGTCTGTCCTGAAATGTATTTATAACAATATAAAATATCATTTCTTCTTATAACTTAGGATAATATACTGTAGCCTAAGGTCTAACTTGGCCAGTTCTCATATACCAATTATTACTTTCGATTGCTAGTTACTACTAATATTAAAATAGGAACCGACAAGTAACATGTTTAGAACTTGCGAAGGCTACAGTATATTATCCTAAGTTATAAGAAGAAATGATATTTTATATTGTTATAAATACATTTCAGGACAGACCATTGAACTTGGCACCCATTTAGATCTCATCTCTTTTGTCGTAGAAGTCAACAATCAAGGCATATATCATAATATTAAACTCGGCTATCATTTCACATTTATGTTTTTGATGGGATATCATTACTTTTTGTACATAAATTATACGAGGTACTACCAAATTATTTTTGATAAATTACTGTATTTTCGTATATTTACGGGGTATAATTGTATTTTTTTTGTGTTATTTTCTATATTTTCTTGTAACTTTTAAATGTTCAAGTGCAATGCCAATTCAGTATCAGGAATTTTTGGGCAAATCGAGGCGGTATAACGTCCACAGATGGTTGTACTCTACAATAGAGCTCTCGTGACTTGGATCTAAATTGTTAAGACGTACTCCATCTAAGGTTTTAACTCTGGAGAGTCCAACGTAAACCTGCCCTTTATTAAATATAGAGGAGCCTATGTTGAGAAGAGGACTGCCAAAACTAAGGCCTTGTGATTTGTGGATAGTAATAGCATATGTTAAGTAAATACGGAATTGTTCTCTTTCAACATATACATTATTTAATATCTGAAACTTCGTATTGACACGTTATAGTTCGTAAAGACGATTATGTAACAAATTGACTGTTATCTATTGAATTCTCAAGAAAACAATTTGTTACCAATGAGTTCTCATTCTCGAGTTAACTATACATTCCTACTTATAACTATACTAAAATTGTTATTAATTTTTGGTTTAAACTATTGTCTATACCATACGTATTTACTAAAATAATGTAATAATAATATAACCACAAATATATAAGTATAATTTAAGAAAGCTATGAATTTCGTAGCATAAATCGCAACCTTATAGGTTAGATATCGAGAAACAAAACATTGAGTTTTATCGCACCGCTCCCACACGGCTCCGCCGCGGCGCCCTATACCGAAATGCCTATTATTTAATAATTATTTATAAAAATAATGATTTTACACTATCGATGTGCGCTAAATATTGAAACAATAATTAATACCAAATCTCAGTTAATAATATAATAAATACGAAATTCGACTATACTCCTAGTTATAAGTACGAGTATATTTTAGACAGAATCTAAATTATAGCAACTAGTGTTTATCGCTCAATGCAATATTTGAAGTTTGCTAGTTATCGACACTGATGTGAAGGGGTCAACGTAAATTGGTAATGATCGACGTTTTCATACAATATTACTTTCCGTCCAGTACAAGATGAGATATTTTCGCCAGGGATCAATGTCAATTGGTGGCTATAGACGTTTTCATAGAATTTTAGTATTCGTCCAGTATAAGTTGAAATAGAATCAATTAAAGTGAAAAATTGTAGTAAAATGATAACAATTTACCAGTTTCAGATTTTTTCCTTTATATTCACCTAATTACCTATCTGCATGCCAAATTTGAACTTCCTAGGTCATCTGGAAGTGGGTTATAATTTTGATCTATAGTTGATCAGTGATAAAAATGACGATTTTTGGACATTAATATCTAAATAACCGTTTGAGATATGTTTATGAAATTTGGAACACATATTTATCTCGTAAGTCTCAATATATGAACCAAATTTGACAGGTTTGTGTGAAAGAGTTTTTGAGTTATGAGGGAGTCAAAAGTGGCTCCAAATGGTTCGTGTAAATATACACACGGTGCTGCTTGCCAGTTTACTTGAAACTCGGCTTGACACGCTACCGCGTGTCTAGATGTGGCCACCAAAAGACGAAAAGAGTATGAGAACAAGGAGGAGCGGCCTTTCTTCTCTCTTTGTTAGAGGCAATCGAGACGACAAGACGTGGAATACACCGACGCAATGGATGTGAAGTGTAATTTGAAAAAGGAATAAAAATCATGTACTTCTGCATGGACATATCATATCTGAAACTTCCCAATACAAAAGGATCACATAATAATGATGTCCATGGTGCTATGCAAGTATACAGACGACGCGACGGTTACCAAGTTTCATAAGATAGACAGTCAGTTTGTTTACTATTCCAATTATGTATCTATATAAAAAAATCGTGATATAACATGGAACACACTCGATCACGATATTCAAAATGAGTGTTGGTATATTACCATTTCTAATGGCTTCTTTTGCAATTATTTACAACATTTCAGTACATGTGTAATGAATGAACTTATATGAAAAATGAGAAAATAAACATTGTATTGCTTACGTTTAATTACTAATATTTTTGAAATAATTTTGTGCTATCACACTACATAATTAAATGGCCTCGACATTAGTTTTCATAAATTATCGTGTTAATGCAGTTAAATACCTGTGTTATTTACAAATAAACTCAATCAAATAACATATAAAGATATTTAAGATGTTATCGGCTGAAGTCTCCGCATTTGTAACATTTGCAATTGTCGGGTTCTCGTAGACGCACTTCCATTATGGCACGGTCTTCCTCTTCAAGTCTCAGCCCATCGGGGTCGTAGCAGTGTGTTAAGGTCACCAGACGTTCACGTAAGAAATTTTCTCTGCAGCAGAAGCATTCCTGCAGAAGCATAATTTATCGATTTAGGTGTTATCTTTTTCGATTAGGTACGTGTAATTCTCAGACAAACTTACTAAGAAAATCTGACTAGTGGTGTAGTTGCGGGTAAAAGATCAGGGCATCACGTTTTGTATGGAGAGTGGTCAGAAACATGTAATGCATTTCTACAACATTTAAATTCTATAATGTACTTCCTTTGTTTAGTCACTATAATATGAAATTAGGTCCCTCGATCTTTTCCATTTCTTATCTCGGTGTTTTCCAATTTAATAATTAAAGGATTATAAATAAACCGAGATTGAAAATCAAAATGAATATAGGTACATTTGAGTGTATTGGCTAACGATGCTACGATTGATTAAATTATTTCAAACTTATTATATCATTATCATATCACCTGACAGGTCAGGTCGGAGCATCGAAGATTGATACAGCATACAATAAAATAGACTTGCATATTCTTTTACAAACTATTGCAATCATAAAATGATTTTATATTGCATTTTGCACATACCTTTAGAAACCCTGTTGCAGTTACGACAGATGGTTGAACTTGACTGCTACACAATCCTTCGCATTTATTTACATTTACTTCCCCACTACAAGATCTCACTAATCTTCCCAAGTCATCGAATTCCTCTGAAGTATAAAGTAAGTATAGTAAAGTAAGTAAGTTATTATTCACTTAATTGTCGGTCATTTCATGAATTGGAATATGTAAAATATTTTGTAAATCTGATGATAGATTTATAAATTTATATCAAACAAATTAATAAAGAAATGGTTTCTTTTATCCTATATTTTTTTAGATAGATATAGCCAAATGGTTTACTACTCCTATTTGGACCTTAGTAAATAACATAGAGTATTGATAGTTATTTATTAAAATTACCTTTAGTAACATGAATTTCAGTAGGAACGGTTTCACAGTTTTCATCTGCATATGTTTTCATCAATATTATAGTCACAATTTCTATTAAACAAATTGACAATCTTTTAGAAAAAAACATTATTATGATTTAATTCTTCTTTTTCAAGAGATATTTATAATACTAGTACAATATCATTAATGGTGTGTTAAACAGTGTAGCTTCCCTTATATATGAAACTCCGTACCGAAATGTGAAAGGAGGGGAAAAACGATCTAACAATCTTATCAGCAGGTTGCCGGGAAACTGAGTAAAATGTCTTGTAATGTTGTCCAACTTTTAGTAGACGTTTTAACCGACTCTGTTAATAAATAATAAAATTTAACAATAATAGAAGGAAATAGATGTACATAAATCAAATACTGCAATCCGTAGCCAAATCTAATATTGCAGCCCGGTAGTGAAAATACGACTGGCATGAGAGAATTTCAAATGTATATATTTATATAGAATTAAAAATAATATTTATTCAAATAAATAAATGTAATATACAGTCTTTTGTATAGTTATATTTTTTTATTCTTACTACCACTCAATTCGGAACGCAGACTTCTCACATTTTTTTGGGTACACAGATCTATCTACCCGATATACAATATATTATAAATGCTAAAATGTGCAATCTTTTTTGCTCTTTTTTTAACATAAAAGATACATAAGTATGTCCTTCTTCGTAACATGATCTATTTACATATCTAATTTTATTAAGATTCGTGCAGGCGCTAAATTGTGAAAAAATTACATACAGAGGAACATGACGCGATTTTATCTGATTTTTTTGAGACAAAATACATTGTCTCCAACTCAGTACGTACCGTTAAGATTAAGGTACCTATTAATATATTTATTCCTGTAAATAATATAAAATTAGACAATACCTAACAACAATGGCTTCTTATTTTAGTTCGCCTCAAAGCGGGAGTCCATTAAAGACTCGATTAGTTCATGTTTGCACTGTTGGATCACCATGTAATTTCTTCTATGGCATGTTCACTAAAGGCTTTCCATTGTTTGTACATTGAAATATATTTATATCGTAAATATTATATTTAAAAGCTAACACATACTGCAGAACCTTTAAATATGTTTTAACCGCCGAATAGGAAAGACTTATTCAAGTAAGAAAATCACTACAAAAATGACTTCAAGTTACTTAATATTCTGCTTATTAGTTATATATATGTGTCATATTCAAGAACGAAATGTTGAAGCTCAAGAAGTTCATACAGCTTTAGGTAAATTTAATCTAGTTACATTTGTAAAACTGTAAAACATTTAAATTCATTTCCGTAATTGAATATTGCAGGACAAGAATGTCAAATGACACCAGTAATTCATGTATTACAACATCCGGGATGTGTGCCCAAAGCAATACCGTCATTTGCATGTATCGGAAAATGTTCAAGCTATGTACAGGTAGGTTTTACATTGCAAATAAAGAGACTATATAATATAAATATATAATAACTCTCATTTCACAGTGGTACATGAATTCCTAATATTATATTTAAAGTACTTTTGGTATCAGTTTTAATAGTAAATAGGCCCCAGATTAAGATTAAGATTCCTGTGAACTGTAATGATAGCCCAGTGGTCCATTCGATTAAGTTTTAATACATTATTAAGTATAAAATAATAATAAGCGCTCCTTCTCCATACAGTTAAAATTAATATTTTATAAATTCATATTACTCTACCCACGTAATTTTTGTGAAAATGCTGCAAAGTTTTCGATAACCGTTTATTATTATACTGTCAAAGTGTTTGTTTAGCTGCTTAAAATCTTATATGCTTATTGCCTAATCATAGGCTTATTATATTTTATTTTAGGTATCTGGAAGCAAGATTTGGCAAATGGAAAGAACTTGCAATTGCTGTCAGGAATCAGGCGAGAGAGAAGCTACTGTTGTTTTATTTTGTCCTAAAGCAAAGAGTGAAGACAAACGATTTCGAAAGGTACCAAGGAGCTTTTTTTTTTAATTTGTTGCAAAAATATATTAATAATACACTGTTAAAAAAAAAAATTAAGTTTATTTATAATTTTTTTAAACATTTATCATTCCTTCAGCAAAAATTCATAATTGTAGTTGTAAATATACAAGTTATGAAAACGTATATAAACATATTATACGGGACTATGCCTTCACTTCTGATTTTGATTACTTTTTATGTCATGTACATACTTAAAATTAATAATTCTGCATGTACAGGTGACAACCAAAGCTCCCCTTGAATGCATGTGCAGACCTTGCGGAAGTATCGAAGAGAGTGCTATCGTGCCCCAAGAAATGGCTGGTTATTCGGAGGATAGCCTTCTTAAAAATCAATTCAGAACAAAATTTTAAAATTATTAGTATCTACTGAACGTCTTCAATTGTTGCATAATATGATTTGAAATATTTTAAATTGTTACACAAATTTAATCAATTAAAGGCCTTGACCAAATATTTAGATTTTTTATTTTATAGCAATGTGGTATTTTAGAGTTTTTTTTTTTATAACACAGGGGACAAACGAGCATGCGACTCATCTGATGGTAAATGATTACCGCCGCCCATGAGCACCCGCAACACCAGGGGAATTGCAAGTACGTTGTCGGCCTTTTAAAAAGGAATAAGCTCTTTTCTTGAAGGTTTCAATATCGTATCGGTTCGGAAATACCATTGCTGGAAGGTGATTCCACAATGTGGTTGTGCGGGGCAAAAAGTTTCTAGAAAACCGCACTGTGGAAGACCGCCATTCATCCAGATGATCAGGATGGTATTTCAGTTTCTGGCGGGTAGTACGGTGGTGAAACTCAGCAGCTAGTATTAATCCGAACAATTCCTCAGAACACTCCCCGTGATATATGCGGTAGAAAATGCACAGAGATGCAATATCTCGCCGCAAAGCCAATGGGTCGAGTCTGTCACATAGACGTTGATTACCAATGATTCTGGCTGCTCGGTTCTGAATGCGGTCAAATGGAAGTAGCTGGTATTGTGGTGCTCCCGCCCAGAGATGAGAACAGTATTCCATATGCGGCCGGATCTGCGCCTTGTATAATTGCAAGCGATGGGCCGCCGTGAAATACCGTCTACTGAGCATACCAAGCTTTTTTGAGGCTATTTTAGCCTTGTCCTCCAAATGACCGCAAAACTGAACGTCACTGGATATATCAACGCCAAGGACCTGGAGATTTGGCTTCACATCAAGGAGAGTGTCTTGAGGAGATACGATAAATGGAATCTTTTTAGCGATAAACGCGCAAACTTGTGTCTTCTTGGAGTTGAATTGAACACAATTTTCCAGACCGCAAACCGAAACTTGAAGGAGTGAAGTTTCGATTTCCGACACAAGTTTGTTCCGGTACTCTATAACTATTGCCTGCGAAATGGCCGCTGTACAAGGCATCTCCGGTACTGTCATCCGCATAGCAAAGAATGTTGTTGACTTGTAACATGTCATTGATATGCAGAAGGAACAGAGTCGGAGATAGCACACAGCCTTGTGGAACACCAGCTTTCACAGAGTGTGGGTCGGAGCAAGCACCATCGACAACGATCTTGATGCTCCGATCAGCGACAAATCTGGCGATCCATTTGCATAACTTCGCAGGCAACCCAAAGGATGGTAGCTTTGAAAGAAGAGCCTTGTGCCAAACCCGATCAAAGGCCTTCGCAATACCCAGACTAACAGATAGGGCCTCCCCCTTACTCTCAATAGCCTCTGCCCATCGATGTGTCAAATACACTAGAAGATCACCAGCTGAGCGACACTGGCGAAAGCCATACTGACGATCAGAAATCAACTGGTTCACTTCTAGGTATCGTAGGAGTTGACGGTTGACAATCGACTCCATGGTCTTTGAGAATAAGGAGGTGACGGCTATGGGCCTATAGTTAGCTGGATCTGAGCGGTCTCCCTTCTTAGGGATCGGATGAACCAAAGCCGTCTTTCAAAGTTTCGGGACTACACCTGTAGAGTAGCAGTACCGGAAAAGATGCGTTAGTACCGGAGCCAACTAAGGTGCACACGTCCTGAGCACAATAGCAGGAATACCGTCAGGCCCACTCGACTTGTGGATATCAAGGGAGAAAAGAGACTTACGTACCAGCTTTTGGGTAAATTTTACCTCTGGCATAAAAGTCTCACACCGCGAGATGACCGGCGGTGATTGCTCCCTATCGTCCAGTGTCGAGTTGGATGCAAAAAGAGACCCAAGGAGATCGGAGTTAGAAATAAGTTTAAATATATCTTGCAGGTTGATACTTTTGAGTGTAAGCGAGAAGAGTGGGGGTGGGGACTGTATTTTTGCAATAATAATAATATGTACTGTAAAAAAAAAGTTTATAAGTTCAGATGTTAGTTACTCTTTCACGCAAAAACTACCTACTGAATGGATTTTTATGAAACATGACAGTAATATAGTTTATGCACCAAAATAACACAGGCTATATTTTATATTGAAATTTAACGCGAGTGAAAACGCGGGGCACAGCTAGTACCACATAAAAATAATAACAGTTGGCTTAGAATATAAATACTTATGGCACGTGAATGTTGAACTAGCTGTAGAAATTATTTTTAGATTACAAAACTTTTGTGCTAATTACATAAATCGTACACAGATAGACTAAAAGTCAAGAAATGTGTAATTTCTGTATAGTAGTAGATATATGCTTTTTTTTATACCACGTAGGTGGCAAACAAGCATACGGCCCATCTGATGGTAAACAGTTACCGCAGCCTATGGACGCCTGAAACACCAGGGGTGTCATATATGCGTTGCCGACCCTTAAGAAACCTGAATATACCCTTCTTGAAAAACCCCAAGCTGTAGTCTCTCGAGAAAACTAGTTCATTCCACAATCTAAGTGTACGCGGGAGGAAGCTCCTCTGAAACCGCACTGACCGAAACCACTTTGGTTCCAGCGTGTAGGGATGAATTCCCTGTCTATGGCGAGCGGTGCGATGGTAAAAGGTAGCCGTAGGATTCATGTCAAACAATTCATCAGAACGCAGTCTGTTGTATATAAGGTAGAACACACAAAGCGATATAGGGACACTATATACTTACGTATGTAGTATAGCAGCTTATGCTAAAACTGTTAAAAGGTTACTTAACGGTAGGCTTAGATATTACTTATTGTCAAGACCAACATTTAAGTAAAAATTCAGAAATTAAATAATGAGAAAACAAATGTTCTTGAATATTCACTCACAATGTATTTACACTTTTCGACGTCACTAGTAAATGCTATTAACTGTAAAATGTAAGTGACTTGTTTTTTTTATTGTATTTTAAAAACTAGATAATGTTTTAAATCAATATTTCAATTACATAATACTCTTTGTGAATGGGACATTAGTATTTTTGTACAGTTTCCAGAGCACTTTTATTCAAAGTGTTCCTTCTAGTTACGTAGTAAATAAAATCCTAGAATCTGACATTGACAGTATGCCGGATTGGTACTGTCACAGAGTATGTCACCGTCGGTTTGTTTTAGTTGCACTATTTTCCCGTTGTTAAATCCTACTTATCAGTTATCTATTCAACACTTGTTTGTTTATGTTTTGCAAAACTTAGAATTTATATATACTACTTACGAAAACTATTGAAAAATGAGTCGCCGTAAACGTGCAAAGGTCAGATTATGATAAATTGTCTTATACATAATAGCTTTTAGAATTTTATTTAATGCTTAGGTTATGTTTGTATACACAACAGGTAGAAAATCGCGAATTAGATGAAAAATTGAAACAAGATGACTCGGAATCTGATCAATCAGAAAGGAGTAAAATTACATCGTCAAGTCCTATTGTACTTAGCGGTCGACGAGAGTCATCTTCGAGCCATACAACTGACGTTAAGGAATCCAAGAAGGAGGAGCCACCGGCATTTGAAGACAACAAAGCGGAAGATATTGAAGAGATTAATTACAAAGAGATGTTAAATAGGTAAATAAAACTCTTGTCCTAATTATACTTGCTTGCTCAATTTTGCAAAAATATTGTATATAAACATGAAACTTATTATTTACTTCTTTAAAATTAAGTAAACATTTGTTTCCTTTATGAAACTTAACATAACAATGAATTTTGTGTGAATTAGGTTTAATACAGAGCTGATTAAATCTGTATACTGAACTGGATGGTAGGGAAACAATTATAATACAAAAAATTAAGGCATGAAGGGGATTGTTAGTAATGTGGACTCATGACCACATTACTAGCAATGTACCATGTCAGTTTTACCTCGATGCGGTTCCCCCCTCTGGCGGAAGCCATCATGATAAATTCCTGGTGAATTTGTCACGATGGGCTAACTGACCTGACCTCATGTTCATCTTATCATCCTCCACTGGTGCCCCACCATCGTAAACTGTTAGCGCAGGTGGGTGCATCATTACATTATCATCTATAAAAAAAACAAAAAATTGATGTTCATAAGCAGCTAACATATCCTATATGACTAAATTATTTTTATTAAGGGTACATAATTTGTTAAGGGTTTGATAAATACTTTTAGAAAATTAATTTAATTTTTATATTCACTAAAGTATTTTCTGCACATTTCTTCAGAATGATTTGGTAAATTTACTTTATATTTAGTATTGTATTTAAATTCTTAGTAAATGTAAGACTATTAACTAATTCCTAGTCAAAACAAGTAGAGTAAGTTCCAAAACAAAATTCAACTTACAAATTTATCATATCAACTTTTTTCTTATGGTTATGGTTCAATTTGGAGGCCAATATATTAGATATAATAATATATAATAATTTTGTTCATTAATATAGAATATTTGTTTAGTTATATAGGTATGTCTTATACAATAGTATAAATACTGTTCTTTATAACATTTTCAAAACTTTTCTGTTGGTGTATTTTGAGGTACATCCACAACATTTTGCACAATCAAAATTTATTTTCATTACAGTTTAGAAGGAGCAGCATTTCAGTCACGCCTGCCTTTTGATAAAATGTCTTCTTTGGAGGCAGAATGTTTCTCAGATCTTCAAGGACCTTCTAGTCATGCTTTTATTCAAATAAGAAATCGCATACTCAAGTTATGGTTTGAGGATCCAAAGAAACAACTTACTCAAGAATTTTCTGTACAAAAAATAGAGGTAAACATAGCAATTTTTATAAAACAAACTTGCTCTGTTTTAACACTTAAACCACTGAATTAAATGTGGTGAATTCTTATATGTGAGATGAATTCATTATGGACTCCCATTTATTACTTGTAGGCACAAAGAAAGACTACCTTTTTTCTTAGAAAATAAATCTCAGAGGGATGTTTCGGATGGGAAGGATGGATAAGATGATGCATTGTACAGCTAAGCAGGTTGACCTCCACAAGTCTAGAAAGCATTGTTGTTAATTGCTATAATAGTCCAACTGAGCTAACTTCATATACTGTTATTGCAAGTTCATTCTATTATACAAATAGTTGTTACTATCCATACAAGATAGAATGGCTTTAATGTAACTATGTCTGTAAGTAATAGAGTTGTTAGGAGTTCATGTGAGAATTTTAGTAAAACTTTTCCTTCATAATATTCTTAATAAATTTCTAGTTTATTGTTATTTGTGTTGTGCAGATTGAACAGTTAACCATTATAATACTTATCATATGGAGTTGTATAAATATAAACTTATTCCTGTCTACAAAGAAAGCATTATTTAAAATCCAATTTATAACACATACTTAAGAATATTCTGTTAAAATATAGAGGCCTTTTTTAATTTTAATATGTGATCATTATTATGTATATTCCAGCCTCCTTATAATGGGGATCCTGCTTTAGTTATGAGATGTCATGCATTTTTAGAGAGACATGGATTTATTAACTATGGAATTTATGAACGCATAACACCTATACCAAATCCACCTAAAGGAAAACAGAGACCGAAAGTGATAATTATTGGAGCAGGTAATTATAGTTATTAATTGTGTATTGATTTTGAAGTAAACAAGAAGAATGTTCTTTTCTTAAATCAACATACATATTTTAAAAAGTGCAAATTATTATTTCATTTTTTTAAAATGTCTCTTTTATGAGCAGAAGAAGAATTATATGTTTAATATATGTTCTTCTAATAGTGGTATTTTTATTTAGTGTATCTATGCATAGAAGTATAAATTTTACAGTATAACTAACATTTACAATCTAAAAATATATATGAGTATTTTACAATTATTTTTATTAACAAAAAATAAAGAGCACTAATTTTGTTATTATATGTTTTAGGTGTATCAGGTCTAGCTGCAGCTCGACAACTAATGTCATTTGGATGTGAGGTTGTTATTTTAGAGGGTAGAGATAGGGTTGGTGGAAGAGTTGTCACATATCGAAAGGGACCCTATGTAGCAGATTTAGGTAACTTTATTTATGTTTTTTTAATGTACTAATTATGTAAAAATAAAGTCTATAACCAACAAAGGAAACATCTGCTGAATACCTAAATAACTACTTCAGTAATTTTATCTGTAACTTTATGCTAGAGGTAATAATTACTTACTTTCTTTTATATTTATTTTAATAATACATAATACTATATATGATAATAGATAAATAATATTACGTATTATCCCTTTAATACCATATTAACAACATCATTCAATAATAGGTGTATAAGTCATACTATTATGACCCCCAAAAGGACAGAATAATAATAGACAAGCATAGTGTATACACTTTTGTAAGCATATCCACAATATGTTTTGATGTCTGTGGATAATTGTTAACATTGGGCATTAATAAATTAGTTCCAGTAGGATCCAGTATTTTAATACTGGGACAAATATTTAATACAATAAAATATTTTACAGGAGCTATGGTGGTAACAGGATTAGGAGGAAATCCGGTAACCACACTATCTGTGCAGATGAATATGGAATTGCATAAGATCAAACAGAAGTGTCCACTATATGAAGCTACTGGCAATCAAGTACCTAAACACAAAGATGAAATGGTATAGTCAAAATTAGTAATTATAATTTTGTTAAATTTACTAATTGATTATAATAAAAGTGCTGTGAATATTAGAATGTTGTTTCCATTCTAATATAATAGTAATATATATATATATATATATATATATGGAGAATATGATATATAAGATCAAGGGTGCCCGAATTATCACAATAAAATTCATTATGAATGCCTTATGTAAATTTATTCTCTTCAAAGTCTAAATTCATAATTCTTTTTATCAAACAAAGTTCAGCATGGGCTGGAATGTACCTACGATTTTCAACTTCACAGACGATATTTTTAATAGTAATATTTTTTGTAGGTGGAACGTGAATTTAACCGTCTTCTTGATGCTACGTCTTATCTATCCCACCAAGTTGACTTCAATTATTATAATGATACTCCCGTCTCTTTGGGTCAGGCATTAGAATGGGTAATCAAACTTCAACAGAAGAATGTTAAACATAAACAGGTTAGTCAATAAGTTTAAATACATAGTTTGTAAGTGGTAGAGCAAGCTGTACGACCACACGTGGTTGTTCACCTCGATTGGGCCGCTCGAACCGGGAAGTACCACACCTCGGCAGAAAACCGGCGTTAAGCGATATCGCGTTTCGCATGGTTCCGGACGGATGGTTTGACGCAGCTGGTATCCTCGCTTACGCGAATTCCTGATGTTGTTGACCATATATCTTCATTGTTGGATCTTCTGCTGACTTCTCATCCGGACGGATATCAGATCTCTGTGGAAGCCCCACTGGGATCCTCTGATCATTGTCTGATACGGAGCGAAGTGCCTCTCACGCGTCCTTCTTTGCCGCGATCTATTGGACGACGTCGTGTTTGGCATTTTAAGTCGGCAGATTGGGATGAGATGCGAAGTTTTTTTTGCATCTTACCCATGGGGGCGAGTTTGCTTCGCACTGGACGATCCTGATGCAATAGCTGAATCTGTCACCGATGTAGTACTTCAGCGAATGGAGATGTTTATTCCAAATTCCCTGGTACCTGTCGGTGGTAGATCTCAATCCTGGTATGGCGGATCCTGTAGATCGGCGTCTCGCCATAAGCTGGAATGCTTCCGTGCCTGGATTGCAGCTGTGAAGTCGAGTGATCCAGATACCAGTGCCCATAAAAGGAAGTATAACTTCGCTTTCAGGTCCTTCAAAAGAGCAAAACCACAGCAAAGTCGGAGCACATCAGTAGAATTGGTAAGAGACTGAACAGTCTTCCATCTGGATCTTTTTGGTCTCTTGCCAAAGCTGCTCAGGGAAATTTCTGTCAGCCATCTTTTCCACCACTGCGCAGAGAGGATAACTCGTTGGCCCAACATGCTAAAGAGAAGGCCGATCTCCTTGGGTCTCTTTTTGCATCCAATTCGACACTGGATGATAAGGAGCAATCACCGCCGGTCATCTCGCGGTGTGAGACTTTTATGCCAGAGGAAAAATTTACCCAAAAGCTGGTACGTAAGTCTCTTTTTTCCCTAGATATCCACAAGTCGAGTGGGCTTGACGGTATTCCTGCTATTGTGCTCAGGACATGTGCACCTTAGTTGGCTCCGGTACTAACGCGTCTTTTCCGGTACTGCTACTCTACAAGTGTAGTCCCGAAACTTTGGAAAACGGCTTTGGTTCACCCGATCCCTAAGAAGGGAGATCGCTCAGATCCAGCTATATATATATAGGCCCATAGCCATCACCTCCTTATTCTCAAAGATCATGGAGTTGATTGTCAACCGTCAACTCCTACGATACCAAGAAGTGAACCAGTTGATTTCTGATCGTCAGTATGGCTTTCGCCAGTGTCGGTCGGCTGGTGATTTTCTAGCGTATTTGACACATCGATGGGCAGAGGCTATTGAGAGTAAGGGGGAGGCCCTATCTGTTAGTCTGGATATTGCGAAGGCCTTTGATCGGGTTTGGCACAAGGCTCTTCTTTCAAAGCTACCATCCTTTGGGTTGCCTGCGAAGTTATGCAAATGGATCGCCAGATTTGTCGCTGATCGGAGCATCAAGATCGTTGTCGATGGTGCTTGCTCCGACCCACACTCTGTGAAAGCTGGTGTTCCACAAGGCTGTGTGCTATCTCCGACTCTGTTCCTTCTGCATATCAATGACATGTTTCAAGTCAACAACATTCTTTGCTATGCGGATGACAGTACCGGAGATGCCTTGTACAGCGGCCATTTCGCAGGCAATAGTTATAGAGTACCGGAACAAACTTGTGTTGGAAATCGAAACTTCACACCTTCAAGTTTCGGTTTGGGGTCTGGAAAATTGTGTTCAATTCAACTCCAAGAAGACACAAGTTTGCGCGTTTATCGCTAAAAAGATTCCATTTATCGTATCTCCTCAAGACACTCTCCTTGATGTGAAGCCAAATCTCACGGTCCTTGGCGTTGATATATCCAGTGACGTTCAGTTTTGCGGTCATTTGGAGGACAAGGCTAAAATAGCCTCAAAAAAGCTTGGTGTGCTCAGTAGACGGTATTTTACGGCGGCCCATCGCTTGCAATTATACAAGGCGCAGATCCGGCCGCATATGGAATACTGTTCTCATCTCTGGGCGGGAGCACCACAATACCAGCTACTTCCATTTGACCGCATTCAGAACCGAGCAGCCAGAATCATTGGTAATCAACGTCTATGTGACAGACTCGACCCATTGGCTTTGCGGCGAGATATTGCATCTCTGTGCATTTTCTACCGCATATATCACGGGGAGTGTTCTGAGGAACTGTGCGGATTAATACCAGCTGCTGAGTTTCACCACCGTACCACCCGCCAGAAACTGAAATACCATCCTGATCATCTGGATGAATGGCGGTCTTCCACAGTACGGTTTTCTAGAAACTTTTTGCCTCGCACAACCACATTGTGGAATCACCTTCCAGCAATGGTATTTCCGAACTGATACGATATTGAGACCTTCAAGAAAAGAGCTTATTCCTTATTAAAAGTTTGTCCCCTGTGTTTATAAAAAAAAAAACATGTAATATTTTTACTTTACAGAAGTAAATACGAAATGACCATAGATCAAAGTCATGACTAACTTTATTTCCTTAGTTTATGATGTACCTATAGATAATATACTATACTTAAAACTTACTTAAAGCAGTATATACTTGTTATGTGTACCCACATCTTTGCAAAGTACAAAATGAAGTCACTTCCGCTGTCGGTCCTTTAGATCTTTTAAACTACGCAACAAATTTTAATGCAGGTTTTAGCAATAGACTCAAGAGGAAATGTATATATATATATATGTATATATATATATGTATAATGTATATATATGTATAATACATGTACACCCGTGCAAAGCAGGTGCAGTTGGCTAGTTCTATATATAATTCTTATATGTTCACATTTTTTGTATCATTTATGAATGTCTGTTAGGAATATTATTTTGTTTTAGATAATGTAAATAACTTATTTAATTTCTTATATTTTAGATACAACACCTAAAAGCTGTGATAACTTTACAAGAAAAACTTAAAACAAATATAAATAAGTAAGTATTATGAATTTTGTAATAAATGTGCTACTTATCTCTTTATAATGCATATAATGTATATACGTATTATTTAAAACAACTGATAATGACACAATTAGTTGCATTAATTAATCTAAGGCTAATGCCTTTATAATGCTAGAATCATTGGCCATAATAAAGTCATACCATTGTTAAGAGTGATTTTGATGATTCTTTTCTCATTACATCTCAAAGTTAATTCCTGTGGAATGTGACTTAAAGAAGATTTTATTTGCATGCAAGATATATAAATAATAAAAATGACTGTTACTACAATACTTTAACCAATACATGAATAATTTTACATAAACGTTGCAAGAGGTGCGGTGGAGACTGATATTCATGGATTTAGGTTTCCTAAAAATATTTAGTAACATGCATTACTATTCCCATTGATCCTGCTATTTATGAAATTGTAACTTGATTAACAGGAACCTAAAATTTAATATTTTATTTGTATCAATAGGATGACTGATGTTCAGGAGCTATTGAAATCAATGAAGGTTGAAAAAGATGCTCTTCTAGTAGAGAGGGAGAAGGGTGCGACAGGAGATGCAAGCATCTTGCAAGAGTTTAATTTACGTCGCCTGAACAGAGAAATGAATCAGTTATGCAATGAATATGACTCGTTAATTGCTCAAAATGCCAGTATTGAGGATAAATTGACGCAATTGGAATCCAATCCGCCAAGGTACTAAAATTTAACGCCATAAGATCCACGAATCACGATAAGAGTTGTGCTATATTAATCCCTTAGAACCTTAACGTTTTACTGGTATCGCCGGTGTCACATGAAATGAAATGAAAGAGCTCTTTATTATTCCTATCATAGAAAGAAAAACAATTACATCAATTAATATGTATACTGAATATAACAAAAAACATGATATCATAATGTTCCTAATGCTGTTCATGTATATAAGCAACGGTTACAGATTACCATCAGACAGTTTTGATGATTTTGTTTGCCATTAGACTTTGTTTGCGAAACAAAGAATATTTAAAAATTTGCAGCCGTAACACACCCTTCAGTCGAAACAATATATGTATAACGCAGCTCTCTACTGAAATAGGTGAAACAGAGGTACCACGCACGTAGACTAATTTGTATAAAGTCAACCTCGGTACACAATCCGAAAAAAAATAAACTTTGTTAGTTTTTTATTTGTAAAAATAAAAACGTTTCGTTACGCATTATACGGCATACGAATAGCACTATTGGCATAGTATTGCTTCTGGCAATTAATTATCTTCCTTGGTTACAAATCTGGACATACTGTGACAATGGACATGACTGACAATTCAACATAATGACCATTGTATGTTTATTTACTCGACTTGTTTTAATAAGACATTATTAGAATGCCTGGAATGCTTTACGTATACTGAAGTATATGTATTTATGTGTTTGTATAAACGAGTTGTTTACATAATTATGTTGTGAAGCAACATACTATCTACAAAATCACTGTATATGATAGTTTTAGGAAATAATAGAACCTCCATAATGCTATCCGATCTGTGTACTTATACGAGTCCAGAGGAATATTCGAATTTATTTAAGAGATGGTTTTTTTCAGTTCCGTATACTTATCGGTTCGCGATAGACAAATTCTTGACTGGCATTTCGCCAATTTGGAGTTTGCCAATGCTACGCCGCTTGGAAATCTTTCGCTGAAGCACTGGGACCAAGACGACGATTTCGAGTTTACTGGAAACCATTTAACAGGTAAGTTGTTATTATGTAATATACAAAATTCTCGTCTTACAGTGTGTTTAAAAAAACTCCTCCGAAAAACGAGGCTTGAACATATATTATTAATTTTTGTATGTATGTAGTCGGTCTGACATTAGAATGTGCACCTAACCAATGTGTTTTGTAATGGCTGTCCACCACAATTTATTTAAACAATTTTGTATGTTTCATTTTATATTTCGGCATTGAAAATATATACAACATTAAGTTTCCTCCCTTCTATTATCCCTATTTTTTAGAAGCGATATTAGCATTGAAATAGCTTTTTACTCCTGGCGATCGCTAATCCATTAATTTCTACGGCAAAAAAACTGTTTGCCGGGTCAGCTAGATACAATATATATTTTAGAAGTTATTAAGTATCTGTGTACGCAACAGACAAAACAATATTTATAATTGTTCACAATATGTGTATATCATACATTACATACTGTTTTTACAGATATAACGTGTTTATATATCTGTCTTTTTGCTTGTTACATTTTCAGAACTAAATGGTTGATAGTTATAATGAAATTTTATATAATGAGGTCAAACATAGACTAACTACTAGAATATACATTTTATAAAAAAAAAACATGCGAAATCACGGCTATTTTCATGTAAATTGACCAGTTGATAAACGAGGGAAGAGAATTATTATTATTTATTCGTAAATGTTGTGGTCATTTACGCTATATTTACCATAGCAATATACAACTATAACACGCTGTAACATGAACACATTGAAATTATTTTTTATTTTGGCTGTGCATTTCATTTATGTTTGGTCAGACTTTTATATTTATTAAGTATAAAAATTATTTCGTGAAACAATTACGTTAGTCGTTTTAATATACAAAAACATAGAATCTAGTCGAGTATTTTCGTTCAAGAACGCAGACTATCTTTAACAAACGTACAACGGGATTAGAGTCAACGGCTGCAATAACTTCAATTAGCCCCCGGTCGCAGCATTCGTTAGCGGTTCCTGAACGTTTCCGCACAATCTACTGCGATCGATGCGCCATTGTATAACAACAAAAGATGCCACTCGATAGAAATAGTTGCCCCTAAAAGGATTGGTTTGCCTTTGACTCTTATTTGTTCCCACTTACCAGATGAGAGTACATCGAAAGCAGTGTAGAAGTTTTTTTTCTTATACTTTGTTATGTTTTTTGTTATTTGTTAAAATATTCCTGTGGTTTTTAGTATTGTGTATTTCTACATACGTATATATTTTTGTTTAAATATAATTATGCAGGATAGTATAATGAAAGAGAAATTCTCCACATATTTTGTACATTATCTCGTATTTCAACTTTTACAACTTGTAAAGGAATCCGTAACTGCCTCTGTTCTTGCTCAAGGGCTTGCCCAGTTATGAATGTGAAATTTTCGACTTAGTGGACGCTGTGATCTTTCCAAACGAATGTAAGTATGCCTGGAGCGGTGGTTCGTGTCAATAATCACTATTATTTCATGCTACAAGTTTTCATCCTATAGTCGATAAATTGTCCATTGACTTTGGTGAATTGTAATGAGCGTTGCAGAACAGTCCATACCATGTACATGCATTTTGATACTTGCACACGCGTAGGAGTAACAATCCACATAGTTTACCTCGATGAATTTTCAGTGTAATACTCACTAATTTATATTTTAATTACAAAACAGTGGTCGGTTCTTAGAGACCTAATCTTTGTATATTACAATCATTAAATATTAATATATTATACTTTAATATATGTATATTAAAGTATAATATATTAATATTTATTATTATTATATATGCTCACTCTGTATATGTTTAAGTTTAGAACTCTATTTAAAAGTGCAATAAAGAATATATTTAATAATATTATACTTTAAAATTGACCATGAGTTATTAATGTAATATAAAAGTTATCACATCTATGTATTAAAATATGTATATCTAAAATATACATTAACTTCAAACTAAGATCCAATTAATACACAGAGCTTCATTGTTCTGCAAACTCTCCTATTGGGGTTTGTCTGCAGGCATAAATTACCGTTTACTTAAGATTAAAGCACATCGGTATTATCCAATGTTTTATTTGATAAATTGTATCAATAATATTTTGTTTTTTTTTGTGCCAACTGAAAGAGATGAAACAATGTTTTGTTCTTTGTCAACTTGCTATACAGTGCAAAAAGATTCTATCCATATCTAACATCTACACAAAGAAATTTAAGTGGATGTTATATTTTAGAAACTATTGTGTTTCTTGGGTATGTACATAAATATGCATTTGTACACTACACGCTTTTATGTGATCTGAACTACAGTAGTGTGCGCGTTGCCGTTGTTGACCATATTTCTTACTGTTCACTCGCTTCGTTGTTCACGGCGTGGGTAGTTGAAAAATGACATCTTGATTGTTGTACGTTATTCTACTCATGAGAATATCTACTCGGAATTGTCGCGTGCACCACTATTGTACAGGTTCTGAGCCTCTGGCTCTACAAATTGAACGATTGTTAACTGTTCTGTAGAAATGTTATCGTGCATGACTTGTCGCATTTTGTTAATTTCATGCAAAGAGACCAGGTAGGAGAAAATGTTGTATAATCTTTATCTACTAAAGATAAAAAAACTACAGTTTATAGTAAGTAATACTAGCAACATATCTATCTTTGCACTGAAATCTGTGTAGATACTAAACTTTAAACCTTCCTCTTGAATTATAAAATAAGTTTCAGTTGATGTATTTTTAATTGGAATGTATTTTATTATTACGCCACTATTTTATATATTAATAATAATAATTACGTCGCATTATCAAGATATAAAGAATATGATGTCCATTAAAAATATATTTTGTCTATATAAAATAAAGGTTTTCTATGTCACGTTACAAAATTAATTTGTTAGTGAAAAATGTTTATGTATGTTTTTCTTATGTACCTATTTATTTGATAACCAAAAAATCGTGATAATTTCTGCACCTCTGAATCTCTACCTTATAAAAGGTGGATTTTGTCATACTAGAATAATGATTTAATGTTGAGTTTTTGATTTATATACCTATATGTGTGTACTTTGTTTACTTACTCTTATAATATCTTTCGATTGAAAAGAATACACATATGTACACAATGTATTTTTACTACGAAACGTCGCATCGCGGAAAATCTTTTAAGGATATATGAATGATATATTTAATGTCTATACTGCTACATTTGATTAAAAGAAATCAAAAAAGTTTGTAAGAATTCAATAATTTTTCTTTTCATGTCAGTAAAGTAATGCTTAAAATTTAGTGAGATAGAATCCCAAATATTGATATATATACCCACATTTATAAGTACCTCTTTGGTGTAGAAATTGCTAGTCTTTTTTCAACATGTATATTTCCCAATGCGTCTGACCAAGCTCTAATTCTAACTCGACCTATCTCGATCGTTCCTTGCGAGTGTCATAGAATGATCAGTTCATGGTTTCATTTAGCAATCGTGATTTCATAAGAAATCATTAGCTTCTTCCTTATCCCATTCATTTCGGGTCGGCGATAATATTTTTTTTTTCCATTCATCCCTGTTCGCAGTCATCTCGTTTGATAAGAAATATTAACTTCAAATAATTCATATATGAATTATGTCGACTTCATTTTTAAACATTTAAACTTCATATTTAATTTAATTAAATCTACAAAGAAATAGTCTTCTATTGTTTATACGTGAGTATAATTTTAATGTGGATAAGTATTACTATTATTAGATTACTTAAGTATATACCATAAATAAAGACAACAAAGACACGGTCAAGATAAATTATAAGCTGTTTTGCTGTTTGCCAACGAGAAATGGCATCTGAAACAAGTCCCTGAGGTGGCGTCCGGGACCATACGATCGTTCCACCGGCGGGTTAGCAGTGGTAACAAGTTTTTGATAACGTTATGTGTACAGTGAGGCAAGGCAAGGCAATAATGAATGTGCTACAGCCAGAGTCTTCCTCATTTATCATGCGCGCTATGAATGAACTGTCTCGACACATTGCATTTGGGATAACGTTTGATCGTGTTTGGATACTTAGACCTAATGCTGATTGCGATCACACAATCTTTGGTTTGTAGATTTATACTAGAGACATACTTGCATTTGTTTTATTAGTTGAAATTTGTATAGGGCATTAATGTTTAATGAAATTGTAGTATCTTTTCTTATCCACTAATAATGGCTTGAAAAAAGAATGTTTGCTAGTCACTATAATTATAAACTGATTAAGTTTATGTTCCGCAGTTTATAACAAATTAAATTTTTAAATATAATGTATTTGACAGCATTTTTCGATTATCTATGAACAATTTAACACTATGCAGTTTTAAGCTAACTAATATTGCAAGTAGTAGTTCAGTTATCGCAACTAGCAATTTAAATTGTTACAAAGAAGAAATTAAGGCATAAATTATTATGAAGTGCTCATATTTGGTTAGATTTGTAGCATTATTTGTAAGAATTTCAAAACGCTACTTAATGGTACTAAACTTTCTACGACTAGTGCGTTAGAGTTACTCACGAGGACATCAATCGCGACGGTGGCGTCGAGTCGCTTGCAGAGGTGTTGGGGGCGTGAATGAATAAGCAATGAACTAACGAATGACTCTATTAAACCGCCATTGTTCTACAACGATCGCTTGAGTTGCGCAAGCGACACGCATTGTTCGCTTCTATTAGCTTTCACTATACGCTACGTGACGTCACTAGTTACGACCTAAATGCTTTTAGTGTTAGATATAGCGCAATTTGCATTAAAGTAGAAGGAATGTTTGCAATTCACTATGGCAAATCGCCAATACAGTGTTATCAAACAAGTTGTGTTGCTGCGATTATATTGCTAAGAATAACAAGTATTGAAGATATTAGTGCTGTGTGGCGTGATCAATGACTGACCTCAAAAGGAGATTTTCAAATATAATTGAATTTTCAATTTGATATGATGCGATTGAAATTTGTCTTTGTGTGGCTTG